AACACCATTTACTGTACAAAATTAATGATTTTATCAGCTAGAAATAAGTTGGTTGAGAATGACTTCTTAAAAATCTGGCCAGGCAGTGGTTTAAGGTCATTATTAATACGCATCAACATATTTAACTTGTTTCTTGTGATTTAATTTTTAATACGATCAGTTATAGATTAACAAATGATTTACATATGTTACGCATACAGTTTTAGTTTTCTTTGTCACATTTAAATTTAGTTTTCTATAACATTATGGTAGGGGAGACAATATTTATTTCACATATAATGTAATGTTTACAAATACTGACTGAATACATTGTTCACCAATATGATTTGTTACACATCAGAGAATAAATATCTTCCATGTCTGGTACAACTTGGAATAAAATTAATGGTGATGCTTCGTTAATAATTAAAAAAAAAACACAAGTAACAAGTCTGAATTGTTATACCTTTTAACAATTTAGGTAGAAAATGGTCTATCAGTTAACATTAAATAGTTACCGCATAGTTTACTCATTTTCTCCAAATAAGAGTTGAGAGCTAAACATGTCCTTGTGTAGAGAAAGTTCTACGGTAAAGCTTCTATTGGTCAGTCGTATCAAACTAAATGCATTATACAGTTCGGTGTCTTTAACTGAACAGACAACCTACCAAATTTTCTGTCATAGTTTATTTGACAATGTAATTGGGAAGGACAGAACAATATATACAAGTACAGTATGACACACCCATACATCAATATGTGTACTGTATACAGTCAGTACGAATTAATTCATTCTTTGAAAACACACATCCACGACAGAATACAAAACTGAGCTGAAATAAGTACATTAAATTTCCTGATACCGATAGCAAATACACACACACATATTTGCATGAGAATCAGACACATTCAAGCCTCAAAACGTTGGCAGACACACAAACGTTTACAATAGATAAAAAGTTCATCGGTGATAGTGCACGTTCAAACTTCAAGGAAGGAAAACGTTTGTTTGAACTTATTACACAAAAGCAGAATCGGATGGAGGAGCCGTTTCTAGCACAATATAATCACAGACGAGGTGCACATTACGCACTTCATTCACCGCCGACGTGCTGACCAGCTCTTCGGGGCTCAGCGTCGGCAAGGCTTCCAAGTCCAGGGCCTCCAAGAGGGTCTCCCCCAGGAAGCCTTCGTCCTCAGAAGTGTTGGGTGTCCCGGTGCTTCCCTCAGCATACTTGACAGTGATATTGGGGTTAATGGGGAAAGTATCTTGACTGGAAATGTCAACTCGAATAAGGTCATCATGCTCAGAGATGATATCTTTGTTGGGTGCCAGAGATGGTTGTTCTGTGTTGTGGTAGTTGCAAGGTTCGTCTTCGTGTTCCTCCTTATCACTTCCAGATGACATGGACGAATTGTCAACTTCTTCTTGTTGTCTCTGGAGGTTGTTTTTACGGGCGAATAGCTGAAGCATCGTTCTAATGTCTCTGCTCTCGTCCAGCAAAGCTTGAGCCTTCATGGCGGTGAGACTGGGTTCCATGGGCACCACCAGTGTTTGCACCGAAGAAGTAGATATCGCTCGGCCGTAGTTGTTCACCATGGTGGGCCATGTTGGGTTTATTGGTGCTGGGGGAGTATGGGATTTCTCCGCTTGCCTCAATTTTTTAGAAAGTTGAGGCGAAAGGTGTCCTATGACAGTCATTAGGCTTTCCCTTGGAATTTTTACGAAGCAGCGACTTTGCTTTGTGACTTGGGGTTCCATTATGGCATCACCTGAGTCACAAGACGTGGACCGTGAAGACGATAAGGATGGTGTGCCTCCGTTTGAATCCAAAGAGTTAACCTTCTCCAGGTAATACGGACAAGGACGGAAGTCTGTGAACCCTCCAGTCATCGTCAACCTTCCTTTGGAGTATATTGGCTCTTGGGACTCAACGAATGTCTTATATTTTTCTCGCCTTGGGCTGCTTGCCCTCTTGATGGTGGTTGCCAGGTCTCTAATAGGGGATGGGCAGGGGCTGGTCGTGGGGCTCATGAAGGAGTTGAACATTTTGAGTCTTTAAGTGTACAAAGGCTCTAAATTGTCTAGTATATTACAGAGACTTGGCTGTTTTCAGAAGCTTTTGTAAATCACGCAATAATCAACTTCACTGTTTAAAACATTTGACAATACTTTAGCACAAATGTTTGATATTGTTTTTATCGTCAAATTCACTCTTCTTGACTTCTGAACTTTATAGGTCCATCACTGGATGTATCAGCAGATGAAGAAAATAGTAACAGTAGCAGAAGTCCGTGTAGAGGAATCGGGTCTGGTGAGACGGTCGTGAGGCAAGAGCTGAGTGTTCAAGGGTTGGACGAGGGAGAGAATATGAAGTGCTTCTGAGCTCCTACTTCATATATATATATATACCCCACGCCAAGGACGGATAGTTGCCACCGTCTATTACTTTATGTGGTGGAGCTTTATATATCAAAAACTTTACTACGATTCATTAAAATGAACTCAAATGGAATAAAAGATGCCACAAAGTTTGCCTAACTCAACACCCAGGTATAGATAGAGTGGTAGCACGTAAATATGAACAACGATGACGACTGTTACGCAACACGACTATAAGGCAAGAGTTACATTACTGTTATACATACTCAAAGTAGTTATTTGTTTACTTACATAACTAAACACAGTTAACGAGGCTTTCAAACCCCAAACATTTATAAATGATAATTTGTATTTCTATTTAATTCATGTCTATAATAAAACAACAATTTAAAAAATATTCCAGGAAGGTAAAAAAATTAGTTTGATATATAAATATTAATATTATAGAATATTGAAAGAATAGCTAACAGGTTTCCATTGTCCTGTAATTTTTCTAAGACGACATAAAATACATTCTAGCGTCTTGATAAATAATTAATATTGCCAAATTTTAGACATGACGAAGAAAGATCTACCTGATTTCATCTTTTTCAATGTGATTGTCTGATATTCACGTCACCTCTCGACTTTGTTGCTTGTCCTGTCTCTAAAGGTACTGGTATTATCTCACCTTCACAGGACTTGATATTCGTCTAACTGCACAGGGAATTAATTAATGATTGTCCCATGAGCTGCCATCGACACAACTTTATATATTACAGGAATCCGACCTTCAACACTTGAAAAATTAATGACATGATTTTTTATCATTAACTTCTTTTTTTGTCTTTTTTTTTTACTACGTAAAAAAAAAATTCAATATAAACAATAATAACATACATTAATTCACCGACGCCTGAGTCAATAAAAAAAAGTAATAAGATTTCCTGAGACTTAACACCCCGCACAAGGCGTCACTCGCCACCATTATACTGTAAACACTACAAAATGAACCAAATAAACACTACTGAACATTGTGTAACCTAGACAGAAGCCAATGAGCAGCCGAGGTCAGGTGGTTGACTGCCATCACCATCACCACCACCCACCACTACCCACTCACCCCTTCCACCCGACACTCATCCCCCCCACCACTACCACCCATCAATCACCCCTCCACCACCACCACCCGATCATTCCACCACCAACTCCTATCACTCACCCCCACCACCACCAACACCCACCACTCACCCTCTCCACCACTACTCACCACTTTACGTATCAAAGACACGGTGAAGAAATGAACTATGGGTTTGGCCATGAGAGGAAGGAGCCTGCCAGTGTCATAATATAAGAGTCGCTCTACATGTTTAGATGCTAATAATAGCAACAACTATGTAACCTTCCTAGGAATCCCGTGAAGTGCTGTAAAGGTGACGTAACTACTGCTGATGACACACACACACACACACAAACCTCCTTCTCCTGCATAGTCTCAATGTCGATTCCATTGCTTTACTGTAGATAATGGGCAGGTTTTTATTTTTTTTTTTTTTTACGGGAATTAGCCAACCCGGGCACAGGTCAAACGACCCACAATGGAGCCTGGAGGGCGAAAAAAAGAACGGAAAGAAATTGAAAATATAGAAAAAAAGGTTATACTGTATTAATCTACACCACGAAGATGCCGGAAAACCACCTTTTTAAAGTGAGACAGATTGTAAGAGCATGGAAACACAGAAGAAGGAAGAGCATTCCACAGTTTGGCTGTGTGAGGAAAGAAGGAGGTACTATAACGGGTTATTCTCGTGTGACCGACATCCACATAGAAACGGTGGGCACCGCGGGCAAGACGTGTGTTACGAGCCCACGGCCTTGCCGGCGGTACACAGGATACCAAATCCACCGAACATTGCCCGTTAAAGTACCTGTAAAAGAGAGAGTGAAGCAACATTGCGGCGAAGAGAAAGGGAAGAGAGATTGTCGACTAAAGGAGGAGAGTTAATAAGACGAAATGCCTTTGATTCCACCCTATCTAAGAGTTGGACAGAAGAGCCACCCCAGATATGAGAGCAGTACTCCAAGTTAGGACGAATGAATCCCTTATATACTTGGAGCAACTGCTCAGGAGTGAAGTAGCTGCGGCATCTGTACAACATTCCCAACTTTCGAGAGGCAGCTTTAGTTATACTAAGGATGTGTGATTTCCAGGACATATTGGAGGAAATGGTGAGGCCTAACATATTTATTTCAGAATTTGGGAGGATGATACCGTCCTGAAATGTAATTGGTGGTGGACTACGTATCTATGCCAAGAAGGGCGTCCCCTACCAACCTCTCGACGTCCCCTTGAAGCCGACACTACCGACGGACACGCCATCACAATCACACTAAAAGGTATGTCCCTCAATATTGTCAATGCCTAAGGCTATGGCCTGGCACTTGACATTATTAGGGACCTGCCACGCTTTGCCATAAACAGATATATTGTACCGGGAAAATTCACCCCCACACTCATCATTCTCTCACTTTATGTAACTTGCTGACAAAACCCATGACCATTCAGGCTTTTACGCCCTTAATGCATGAGTCATAAAGGCAAGCATGAACTCTGCATGCTTCCCAGATGGGCACTGTAAACGCTTCTGCGCTTCACCTTGCACAGGATGTAAGGGGGTGCCCAATAAACTAGCCCCCACGGGGGCAATCTAAAAAAAAAATCTAATCTTGGTCTAACGGTACGACTCTAACCCATCCAGAGATAAAGATGTCGGCTGTTTGTTTACATCTGGGAAACGTCATGTTCAACCTTTCAAATGTGTGCCAAAGATACAATCAATTGCAATCATTTGAAATTACGTTCTGTTTTCCAAAGATAAAAAGAAAAAGGTAAATAAATAGTACAGTAATATGTGGTTCGTGGAAATTAAGTTATATACAGGTAACCAAATAAAGTGCTGCACTTACAGTAGATAGCTAATGCTAATTGAGCAATAAGATAACCTGTGAAATAAGATAATACATAGCAGCACAAAATGAAATCTTGGATATAAAAACTTGCAGCAAAGTAGATACTGTGTGTACTTCTCATATTCAGTATATTGGTCCTCAATATTTAAACGTTTCGGGTATAAAAGTAAGTATATCATAATGATCAGGTTAAGTACCACAGCAATGAAGAGCCTCCAGCAAGTCAGAAATTGGTAAACTCTTTGTGTTCCTGGCGAAGGCGGTGGGAACGAGAACGCTGGAGCAGGTCTGGCTTCGTCCGTAGCTGGTGAGGCGTCAACCTGCAGGAGAATAATGTACCATGAGTTACTGTCAACACATACAGTATACACACACACACTACACGTCATCACGAGTCTAGTATGAGGGGCTGGATGGAGGTCTCTCTGGGCCCACCTATACCTGCTGTAACAATCTTATCTTAGAATTCTTTACACATTTAAAACCACCAAACTCTCTAATTTCCTCAATCGATCTGGTAGCTGGTAGCTTAACGTACCTGAGGAAGGCGGAAGGGGTGTCGTCCATGGTGTGGGTGCCGCCGTAGCCTGGGTACTCAAGGGCGGCAGCAGGAGGCTGTAGAGAAGGATGGAGGCCTTCCACATCATCACAAGGAACTTGAACGTTGTAACTGCAGAAAGTAGACATTGTTGATGTTTCATACATAAACTATTTCACGTGTATTTTTCTATTACTGTATAATATATTAAATAATGAAGATTTGTAACTCATAATGTGTTATGGAATCCTTTGAAATAAATCCCACTGGTAGATGTTATCGCACACTATGATAAAAAATTGTGTAACGTTAACATCCTTCAACCGGACATCAAATTCGTCTTAGAAAATCGAAAACAAAAAAGACTTAAGCTTTCGTAACTCTTTATTATTTGAAACGTTCATATTCCTTTAAAGCAACAAAATATTGAATACATGATCAATTGTGTTCATTCTAAATGAATATGTAAAAAAAGAAAAATCGGGAGAGGGAAAGATAAAGGAAGGAAAAGGAAAACAAGCATAATATGGTGTATTTAGGAACAAATTATTATTATTATTAAAGCAGTAATATACTGTGCTGGTAAACCTCCTTAGTTCCTTATGGCCTTTACGTTGCCTCAACGTTTCACAACCGTCGCTTTCCAACACCATGATAAAACAAGGGCGACTGTCTGTCTCGCGAGTGTAAATTTGAGTTGTGTTGTCTACTGTCACCTGGAAGACACTGTAAAAACCCTTGGTGTTTGCTTGTAAAAATATGGTGTCACTTGCTCCAAACCTTCACAACCCGGCTGACGAGCGATCTCTAGCCGCTAGTACAGTACCGTATATCAGCACGACATAATCACAGTTATTACATCTTACTCGACAAGAGATGTTACCAACCTGTGAGCATAAACGGAGAAGAAGTTCCTATCCTCTGGGGGTGGGAGGTGAGGGGAAGAGTTGGCGGTGAAGCCCGAAGTTCTGCAAGAGCGGCCCACAGTGGCTCGCTCGTCCAGGGCAGCTTGATCCTGTACAACCCACTGATACACCAGCCGCTCAACACTGACCTCCGCGAAGAGGAGGAACCACACAGGCAGATTGATAAAAATGGGAAAACAATTGAATATATATTCCTTATAATTATAGAGGTGCAAACGGAAAAAAATAATACAAGAGTGGGGGAGGCACACAGGCTATTATGAAAATATTAATATAGATAGAGGAACACAAGGAGACAGACAGGAAGAGAAAGAAAGAAGGAAAAACAAATTAGTACATACGTGTGGACAGTTAAAAAAATCGTCCAGTGGCTTTACCCTATCTTTCCTACTCCCCCTTCCCTGGACCTTCAATGCCCTTTACTTGAAATTGAAACTAAAATTGACATTTTGATACCAACTACACATTTCATTTTACCCATACCAACACTTGAAAGGGAGCAGATATGTCACGGTGCCCTATATATTTATTCAGTATATGTATATATATATACATGTGTGTGTGTGTGTGTGTGTGTGTGTGTATCGGAAGGACAGGTCAGTGATATCTTCCTGTACTAGAAATATATGCTGCGGGACCTGATACACAAGAGGAAGGTTCAGCAGGACACAAGATAAACAGTCTTGGTGCTGAAAGGAGGCAGCCAGACGTAACCGATATAAACAGAATAAAATTCTCTTAAAATACGACTCAGTGAAGGTAAACCAACGATTGCTAAAAAGTATCACGTTGGAATCGCCGTTTTTTGTTCTATTAGAGAAGCCAAGCAACGTTGAGTCTAGTTAGTACTTGGATGAGTGACCGCCTCGCCCTAAGAACACCAGATGCTGCTGGTATAAGGACTACCGGAAACAAGCCTCTCATGACTTTGTCAGCTGCTCTTGGTCAAACTGACTGAATGTCAATTATTATAATAAGTAGCTAAAGTTAAACTATAAGTTTATATAATTAATATAAGATGGTATCGTAGGTAAAAATAAATTAAAATCAATGTTCAGCCGCGACAGCCTCCTCTAACAAACTTTGATAACTTCGAGAATAATTTTTTAAGTCTTTTCTTGACAGTAGTAGGAGGCCTGTACACGATGGTTTTCTGGGATGGCTGTGTAGAGAAGAAGGAAGGAAGGGGCTCCTGGGCGCCCCCAACAAAAGCGGGGTTCGTCCCCCCCATCACCATCTGCTTGCTGTCAAAGTAGATAGACATTCCCTTAATGACATCCATTCCTAGCAGAAGCTGAGGCCCTTCAGTAGAGTCAATTAACATATCTGTTTTATAGTACACGCCATCAATGCAAATTGCAACATTTTTCACCTTATGACGGACCATGGAGAGCGATCCGTCATAAAGTATCACGAAGCTTGGTGTACACATCTTTTTAACCAAGCCAAGGTGTCTGGCCAGAGCGGAGGTGATGAACGTGTGTGTACACCCAGTGTCAAGCATGGCGGTCACACACTCGCCTCCGACATTACACTCTTTGAAGATTCCCCGGCAGGGGGCGTGGGGCTGTTTGTAGCGTCGGGGGCACACAACCAATAAAGAATAGTGTGGATCCGTGATTAAAGTACAGTTGTACCTTATTAGAAAATCCATCCCTAACAGAGGACAGTCGAGATGTGTAACAACTGCCACCACAACGTGTAGGATGAACCTTCCCTCGCACACAAGGTCACACGGCAGGAAACCAGTTAATCCCTTGTTTCGTTTGTCATGCACCATGACTATCTGGCCCAGGAAGCCGGTACGCTTCGCTAGGGCAACGCTGATGGTAGAACAGTTGGCCCCGGAGTCCACCAGGAATCTGACCGGCTCCTGCCCCAGCAGGAGGGTCAACCAGAGCCCTTGTCTGTCCTGCTCCAGGGCCAAGGTTCGTGTCTGCTGCAGCATCTCACCTGTGCTGTCGTCGTGAGTCATCTTTGTTATATTATTTTCACGACTAAAAGAAATACTCACTAATAAACAAAAAAAAGGAAATTAAAAAAAATGTAGCTGCTGCTATCAGAAGATTATGATTAGTTTCAGATGTCTTGAACCTCCACCCATACATAAGGAGATTCGGGGGTCCATAACTCAAGGATCTTTAAGTGTAAAAGAAATATGTGTAAAAGACAGACTCAAAGGGGTTACACGTTTCTCACAAACAATTCAAATGGTTTAAAATTTTATTTTAGACTAACTTAAAAGGTCCAAAATTTTTCTCACAGGAAAACTCAACGAGTTAATCGTGTTCTAATAACAAAGTTAAAGAAGGCAGTACGTCTTACAAGATGGCAAGTGGAAAAAAAATACGACGACCAGGATCGTTAAGTCAATTGTGTTTTTAAGAAGATAAGTTTGGTTGATTCATGTAGAATTAAATTTAAATGACTTCATGGTTCCGGCCGTAGTATTTTCTTTTCCATCCGCCATTATAACATCTTACGACCCACTACTCACGGTAACTTGTTGAGGGGTTCACACAGGTTGAGGTATTCCATGGGGTCGGTCCGTCGAAGTCGGTCCACCACAGGCGGTGGAGTGGTCCAGCGGTCTCCCTGTGGGTGGAGCAAAGCCCGCCCAACTTGCCCGCCCTTCTTGACGTAGCCACCCACTTGACCAGTAGGTACCGTGTCCCGTGACACCCACCCCACGCCCTCAAACTAGCCAAGGAATGAGAGGGAGAGAGGTATAAAGTAAGTGTAACGAGACAAATTAAAATAATTCAAATGTTTCTTCAACGTACAGACATCTCGACTCTCATATCTGGTGTGTAGAATATTTATAATCAGCAAATAAATAAAAAACAAATTAACATGAACAATCAGCTACCCGTCCAAATGTTCCAACCAACCTGTTCGTGTAGCTCCCGCCCTTCTGTCCTCCTGTTTACACTTGTGACAGGTTGGTACTCCCGTTGGTGAGCCAAAATGTCCCCGCGAGTGTAATCCGGGTAATGGTGGCGGTACATGGAGGTGTAGTCCGGGAGGGTGGAGGATGCTAGAGGCACCCCCAACCAGTCCACTTCCACCACCTCCACCTCTTCCTTCTCAGGTGGTCTCACGTCTTCCATGGTATTGTTCCTCAGGCTCTCCACCACCACCTGCGTCTCCTGCTGAGGCTTCGTCGTGATGTTCTCGTCAGCGAAGCGAACGCCGGGAAAGTGTAGAGCGGCCGCGGATTTTTCTTGACCTGCTGGTGGTGTGGCCTCCAACACCGCCTTGTTGGCTTCTTGGATGATCTCCTCCATGGTGGTGGTGGTGCCTGTGTTGAAAATATGTCTTTGTTTTAACTTTATCTCTTATTTCATACAATGTCGCAAATATTTATTTTTAATTACTTTTCTGTGAGGTTTAGTATTGATACAACCGCCTGGTATACTGAACCTGACCAGGATAACAGCAGTACACTTACCTAGCCATATCTGTATACAGGGACTCTCAGTGAGGCAGGATGACAACAGGGTCCACTCTGCTCTGCCGCCAGGAAGACAAAACGGTAATCGAGCTATCTGTCAGGTCTGAATTTGCGCTCATTACCAGATTCCTCAAGATTTATTACCAAATTAAACTTTACCTTGTTAAACATACATAGAGAAACTATCGCTTACCTTGTAGATTTCCTGATCAATAATACTGGTCCACAATAATTCTCCAAAACATGGATCACTTTCATAAAACTTTTCGTTATCGATTTCTATTTGTTAGTAATAACAAGAGGACAATAAACTATATAAGAACATTATAATGAATGGCAATAAACCTTGTAATAACCCCGAACCCACCCTGATTTTTTTTAATCTGACCAATATCATGGGCATTTTGAGGCCATTTTGAAGTCATGTGCACTTTATATTAGGAGATAATCTCCTGAGTATAATATTGCATTAAAAAAAAGTATTGGAACTTTCTGATGAAAATGGGGGTCAGGACCCCTACCCTGGATCTGCCCCTGAAGATTATACAGCTGTTCAGTGTACTGTATCTGAAAAAAAAGCTGATTTTGACATACAGTACTTGGGGGTCTAAAGTTTATACCGCTTAATAACATAATGAAATATTGAAAGGTTATTACATTTATAAACTTACCTTTTATTTTCAAATGTTGAAGCGGTAAATTTTACAATGAAAAGGTCTGAAATGTATTCCAGGGTTACTGCCTCACCTTTACCTGGCAGGGTTACTGCCTCACCTTTACCTGGCAGGGTTACTGCCTCACCTTTACCTGGCAGGGTTACTGCCTCACCTTTACCTGGCAGGGTTACTGCCTCACCTTTACCTGGCAGGGTTACTGCCTCACCTTTACCTGGGATGACAACAGCCTGCTGGCGTCCTTAGTTGTCATGGAAACCACTTGAATGAACATTAAGCCGTAAATTCAATGGTCAATGATCTAAGATGAGATATAGATATTATTAATATATTTACTAATTCATATAATGTTTAATAATTTAATAAAAGTGGTAAAATAAGCACATTTCTTCTATTATAAAGACTATACTTGTCTTATTAAAATGTATGCCAGTGTGCAAATTCACATATTTAATAATTTATTTGATAGTTTGGTGGAATTGCATAAAATATGCAAAAAATATAAATAATAATATAGATAGTATTCCTTACTAAAGCTAATCTCTGTGAAAGGATCTTGTTGATATTCGGAGACGATGTCAGTATATTACTGGAACAGTCAGTCAGCTGTTGTGGCCCTGACCAACACGTGCAGGAGAGCCACCAGTGTGTGTTATTGACCAACAGTCAGTCAGCTGTTGTGGCCCTGACCAACACGTGCAGGAGAGCCACCAGTGTGTGTTATTGACCAACAGTCAGTCAGCTGTTGTGGCCCTGACCAACACGTGCAGGAGAGCCACCAGTGTGTGTTATTGACCAACAGTCAGTCAGCTGTTGTGGCCCTGACCAACACGTGCAGGAGAGCCACCAGTGTGTGTTATTGACCAACAGTCAGTCAGCTGTTGTGGCCCTGACCAACACGTGCAGGAGAGCCACCAGTGTGTGTTATTGACCAACAGTCAGTCAGCTGTTGTGGCCCTGACCAACACGTGCAGGAGAGCCACCAGTGTGTGTTATTGACCAACAGTCAGTCAGCTGTTGTGGCCCTGACCAACACGTGCAGGAGAGCCACCAGTGTGTGTGTGTCTCAACAACCAACAAGGTTCACAGGAGAACCAACATAAGTGTGTGTTATTGTCAACAATCAACAAAGTTCACATTAGTTAAGGTAACGTAACTCCTGAAGTGAGAGTATGTGTGTTATATCACAGGAAATCCTGTTTATCTTAGCCAGGTAAAATGTATTTAATATAACCTTTACTTCTCATACAAGACATTAGTTATGATGACCTTACTGTCCATGTATGACCTTACTCCTCATGGTGAATGTATTTGTAAAGATATGATTCAAGCCTACGATAATTTTATAGTTTCCTAATGTAATTACATGTCCTTTAATAATTTCTGATCTTCATTTTGGTAATACTTGACTGAGTTGGTCAGGCCTTAGTACTAACATTGAGGTCAATTCTTCACAAAGAAGTTTCGGTCAATTTTTACAAGTGGACAACCATGGATTTTTGGTTGAGCAATGTGTTTTAGCGTTGGTTTACACAATGTTTTTATTCTGTGGGGTAGGCATAAATCATAGGTTAACTCTCATTTCTTACCTCAAACATACAGTACCAAACTGGGTGGAGGACTTAAATACATTCTTCATATTTTGTTTTTTCCCTTTAATAAAAATGGTCCACCTCGTCCACCCAACGGTGGTGCTGTTTTTACACTTCAATTTTGTTTTTGTTTTTTTATACAAAGGCTTCTAGTGACTGATATTGTGTCATTTATCTGAGATAACATAAACCAGCCTAAACTTACCTAAACTAGCAATGATATGAGAGCTATTATTTAGGTTAGGTTAGGTTAGGAAGGTAAGATACTTGCAGCTTATGTTAATTTAGAGTATGGTACAGTACAGTATGCTTCTCCACCAGATTTTCATTCTGTGCATTAAAATAAAAATTTTAGTGAAAGTACCAAGGAAATCCAGCCATTGTTGAATGTGTGAACCTAACCTCTACCAGGCAAATAAATTATTGGGTCTTATAAGAAGGTTGTTCAGATATCTAGATTGTCTTTCCCTCGTAACGATCTTCAAGAGTGAAGTGCTTCCCCATCTGTTGTACTGTCACCCCGTCTGGTCCCCGAGATATGCTAGGGACTATCAGTTGGTTGAAAATGTTCAAAGGAGGGCCACCAGTCAAGTGTCCTTACTCGGAGCTGGCAGATGCTTGCCCCACAAGGGGTCACAGCTCAAGATTGAAGAAGCCGCAAGTCCACAAAACTGTGAGGGCAAAGATTGAAGAAGCCGCAAGTCCACAAAACTGTGAGGGCAAACTTTTTTGGAGTGAGAAATGTGAACTCTTGGAACAATCTACCAGAAAGTGTTGTGACGGCACTGAGTGTAAGTTCTTTCAAGACAAGACTTGACCAACACTGGAGCAGGTTCAGGTACATTCAAGAGCCGGTGCATGCCCAGTACTTGCCAACAGTGTGTAACAGAGACGTGACCGATCGCCCAAGAGTGTGTGTATACTGTATATATATATATATATATATATATATATATATATATATATATATATATATATATATTGGGCCTGGCCGGTTATTATGTGGGTGGCCTTCTGCTACAACATTTTACTGTATTAACTTTTGTATTTTGTATCTATTGGTTTGATGTACTGTTTTAAAATTATGAATAATAATTTCAGAATTTTGGCATTAAAATGGAAGACGGAGAAGGGAAAGAACGTGTTAGTTTTATTACTTGTGCTGCCTGGGTACCAAGGGGAGCTGCTAAGGCAAATCCAGAGAAGGTAAGTTAACTACAGTATACAGCAGTATATGAATGTTGAAGATTGAATATCATTCCAAAGAAAAAACATTTACAGTACAGTCTTCAGTTTAATTTTTATATTAAAGTAGCATACTGTAACTTACAGTATTACTGTACAGAATTTATTGCTTTGATGTTGGAAAATTTTTTAACCATACAGTATTTGTTTATTTACCATAATTACAGAATTTATTGTCAACTTGAGGGTGAAGCAGGCGGCCATAAATATAGTAGCTATAGGTGTATGTGTCAAGGCATCTTGTGACTGCTGGAACTTTAACAAATAGAGATTTTGGATGAGTTTAATAATTAATCAGTGTTGTATATTTTTCTCCACGTGTTTGGAAGTAGTGGCCTCGTTTGTCTTCTTGGCAGTGGGTGACCCTGATAGTCAACCTGTTTCACTTCATTTTAGTGATTGCTTGCTGCTGGTTCACAGATAATGCAATACTGTGCTTCTTTCAGTATTTCGTATTTCCATATCGTTATACTTCGTTAGATGGAAGTTGACCCTCAATATAATGAATTTTCCTCTCTTTATACTGTTGTCATTTAAATAGAGGTTTCACTGTACTGAAGTGCCACTTTTGATATACTATAAGATTTTTTGGTCTTAGAAGTAAACAAACATTTGAAATTAAAGATTTATAAAATGAAATTAGGGAAATGATTTAATGTTAATATTCATTATCTTTATCTTTTTAAATAAACAAATTAATACACTTTTTTGGGGGATGGTTATAAATACATCACAGTTGTCTAATCTTCTGCACTGCAGCCTAATGCATGACTACTGTATTTCAGGTTGAAATTTCTAAGGAGGAACTGGCACGTATTATTCAAGAAACAAAGGGAAAGGTTGAGTGAGTAATATTTTGTTTTATTTTAGCAATACGCACTGTACTGTACTGTACTTTATATATTATTCTTTGCAAACTGTGCCCTAAATTGTATGATTTATTATAGCATTGTTATCTCTTGTTTCTTGAATACAATATGTGCATTCTTTGAGTATATTTTCTAATGTAACTTACGTAAAGGAGAAAAAAGAAAAACATTGCCTTACCTGTGTTAGGTATCATATTTCTTTTGTAAAAAGAAAAATTAATGAAGTGACATTCCTTTGTTTTAATGATTTCTTTGATATTAACAAGGGCCCATATACACAAAACTTTAATGCTAATGACATAATAGTACTGTTAGCTAGCAGTAAAATTTAAAAGTTATACACAAAGCTTAACTAGCAAACTTTTACCGCACAAATAGTTGTTTGTTAAGTACAGCTAAACAGCGCTAAAGATAACAGGAGTTCATCATATAAAATGGTCTTACGGCTGCATAACCTCAATAAAATTATGAAGATTAATTTCAATATTTACATTTATATCCAATTTGATCATTAAAAATAAAATCTAATCTATGCGGTTTGAAGGAGGATTTATTAACCAGGGATAGTGATCGGCGGTGTTTCCTTGCCGTGCTGTTAGTAAACAAACGTGTTATTGAGGAAATGGAAGCCTCAACTCCACAAAAGAAATGGAAGCCCAACTGCCATTGAAGAGGAAAAGTCAATATTGAATGGCCGCTTGAAGGCTTTCCTGAATAATAAAGACAAAAAGAGGGGGCCATTTTTTTTTATCCTCCCATCACCTTTTTACGTTTTTTTTCCTGACTATTTAGTAGATCTCATCGCGTAACGAAAGAATATACGTACTTGAATTAAGCGGCGCATTCCAAAAATAAACGCGATATTCGCGATTTATTACTTGTAACAATCACAAATTTTTCCAAGTCCCAATTTGATGTTATGGTGACACGCAGCATCGCTCTTGTTTTGTTAACCAGCCATCACCATTTTTTTTCACATGAAAATTTGTTTTTTTCGCAAGTTTTCTTGTTGTTTTAGATGATTCTGGCAGAGTGTGAGCCACTGTCGAAGTCAAGAAAGAAAATCTGTGCTATAAAAGAGGGAATACTCACAATATATTCACACTATATTTAATATATATATATACACTATATTCATTAAATATATAGCTCCTTTCCCGATAAATGTGTTGCCGCCGCTGATGATGATGTTGGTTCGCCATGGTATCAACTGACAGATGACTATTATGGGACATAAAAGTGCTCCAGTGGTTCTTCTAACTTGACAATACTATTAAGGCTCTTAAAAGTTTTGTTTATTTACTTTTAGTGCTTAACAGGAAAATGTCAACCTTAACAACTGTTTGTCTGCACTTAAAAGTTTTGTGGATACCGGCCCTGATGACTGCGGTAGAGTGATTCGCTGATCAACCCCCCCAGGGCACAAAAAAAAACTTTTATCAATTTTCCCTAAACATCATTTTAACCCTTGTGGATTAAAAGAAAGTGTGTAGAAGAATGTGGAAAACAGATATGAGTCTATTACTTACCTTAATTTGGCTGCCATTGTCTCATAGGGTGGAAAACACTTGACTTATTTGACAACTTCACTAAAAGTAAATACTGTATAGTTGAAGCTTTCAACGTCATTGTCGATGGATCTTGAATGTTTCGGCTATAAGTAGGTGTAATAAACACTAATGAATCTTTTGTACATTTTCTTAAAAAGATAAATGACGCGGTATCCTTAAATGCGCACGTATATGTTGGCGTTCCCAATCCATCTCACTTTTTTTTTCTTTACTTAAAACATATATATTCATTTGTTTACATTAATTTTACTACAGCTACAACCAGGGTCTTATTTCTTGATTTTCTTGTGTAGAACTATCGTCCCTGACTCCTGGCTGTAAACACAAACAGAAACACTGGCATCCTAATCTCCTCTTCTCTTGTGTGACCCTATTATTATTCATTTATATTGTATAAGGTGCATTCAGAAACATTATTTAAAAAGTATAGTTGGTAATTTTCATTACCCCATAATTGTCTTGTTTTGGGGGAGAAAGAGGGTAAAAAGCCACACAAAAGATATGAAAAGGTCACACTTGGGAACATCTCATTATTATTGCCTTATTTTAATGGTAATTAAATGATTCGCGATACGATGATTCACCTTACACTGCAATATTGGAGGACACATTACCGTCGTTATTCGAGCCTTTACTGTACACTATCTTTGAGGTTCAGTGCAAAAAATTCATACAAAACTTTCAATTGTAGTTATGAAAACACATGAAAGAGTTAGGTTTGTGACAGTAAAGTGTGTATGTATGACCCTCCAAACCTGTACAGTACCTATTAAATATTAGTATACTAATGCTTTGCAAGGTTGAAATAATCTTATTTAATGCAGTATATAACAAGATAATATACCCTAAATAGTGAACGTTATAGCACTACAAGTAGAAATACTGTAGCAGTTGCCACTAGGAGATATCGTCTTGAGAAATATGAATGTAAGTACGCTGTAGTAAAGATACTTGATTGCTAAGTGTACTAGACAGTAGCACTAAGACAACTAGCAGGGAGAAGTAAACAAGCCATACCTGTCTGCATATAGTCTAGCAGATACATCTCCTGTTAACTCCCAGCATGAGTGGCAAACAGTCTGAAATGGTAATGAAAAAGGATGTTGATTGATACTTGAAAATACTGCATGAAAATTGCAAGAATGTTGTCCACCACTAAATGATTACTCTAAAAACAGTACAGTTAACCCTCACTTTACGCGGTCCCACATTCCGCGTTTCCACGTTTACGCGGTGCCCTGCCGGAACCCAGGATGCTCACATTCCGCGGTGCGTGTACCCCTTTACGCGGAGAGCGGCTGGCGAGCCGCGCCATTTTTGGATCCAAACCTCCCGCCATCCGCCATGTTGTGTAAGCGGCGTGAACATGGTGCGCACAAGGTCGCCCAGTCATCAAAACATTACCAGTTCTTCACCCGCCACCCACCACAGCCGGCCCAAGTCAGTGATAGTGATAATTATGGTGAGGATATGGACTTATATGGACTTTGGGGAGTTTGACAAAGAGGCCCTGCAAGCCTCTGTGGTGGATAGTGATACAATTGATACAAGTGACACAGGTGAGGGCCAATAATCTGCCCTCTGCCTCGGAACCAACCGCCCATCCCCGTGTGCCCAGCCATTTTTTCTACTAATGTAAGTGTTAAAAAACCTAATATTATTGATATTTCTCTTAATTATTAATTGTGTGTGCATACCATCATAAAGTTAAGATAATATTTTTACTACAACATAGTTGTGTGTCGTCAAAAAGTGGAGTTTGGGGATCGGCCCGGACTCCATTTCAATTAATCCCATATGTTATGTTATTCACTTTATGCGTTTCTCACTTTACGCGGGACCCTCCGGGTTACATTAACCGCGTAAAGTGAGGGTTAACTGTATGCTCTCATGCTTTAATCAAAGTAATCATTCATGGACACCCTGTGCAACTTTCATAATTAAAAATAATAATCATAATTCATGTGAATGTGTGAATAGTGTCAGTGTGTCTCTCACAGGATAGAGATTTATCTTAATTTGAGTTTATAAATACTTATTTTAAGTGTTCCATCACATACTGTATACAGGTAATTCATCAATAATTGTGACAATTTAATTCGGTAAGAACTTCAATACAGTACTGTACTGAACATTAAAATCATTTGAGAATTTGACAGGCTAATGTAATAGTTACACAGATAGTATATTGCTGATACTGTAAAGGAAATATTTTTGCACAGAGAGTTGGAAGAAGTCGAGGAAGATGAATCTGAAGATATAGAAGAGGAGGCAGCTGAAGAGGATGGTACAGTCAAAGGAAAGAAACTGGTGGAGAGTAAGGAAGCATCAGCCACTGAGGAAGGGAAAGAAAAGTCTGTAAAAAAAAAAAAGAAGAAGGGAAAAGAAGTGAAGGAAGAGGAGGAAGAGGAAACTGGAGACTTTGAATCTCGTTATAAGTTTACAGCTTATGAAGACGAAAACGATGGTTAAGTGTTGTCTGATTTCTCTCTGTATCTTCACTTTCTTTCTCCACTAATAAGGTTTAACCCGTACAGTAGGGTCGGGATATATCGCAAGATAGGGTCCAGGGATGTTCGCTATATACTAAAACGTGATATATGATTACATGTAATCAATGGAGAAAATAGGGTTAGGTTCTGGAGGCCAATAAAAGTGACTTAACTTGACATAAAATGGCACAGTCTAAAGTTAGCAGAATACAAATTGCATTGCTGTTATCCTTGCAAGACAGCGAATAATTTGAATATAGATGTCATATATTTTGCACAAGTGATAAAAAATTTAGTCCTTTGTACTAAAATGTACTAATTATTACTAAAAAAATTTATGTATTGCAAACTATAGCATGTTTATAATTCTAATTAATCATTATCTTACAAGAATTCCAGCAATGTTAATTATTTTTTCTTAAGTCAATTCATTGACGTTTTATGAGAGGAAATGTAAACTCCCCTTATATGACAGATAAATAAATACCATTAGGTAACCTTGGTGGGGGGGGGGGGCTGGCGCCAGCTGTCATAATACATCACCTCCCCCCTCCAGCTTCACTTCGGGCAAGATTGAAAGTGGTTTTAGGCTTAAAGTTTTTATCTTATAAAATGTCATAGACTAAAGTTAGCAGAATATAAATTGCAATGCTGGAATCCTTGCCAGACAGTGAATAAATTAAATATAGACATCATATGTTTTACACAAGAGAAAAAAAAATTAAATTCCTATTTTTGGGGCTATTTAGGGGATTTTTAGGAGTGTTTCTGAATTTATAAGTTTTTGGCTTTATGTGAGGGCCTAGGAACATATCCCCACCTAAGTCATGAGTCTACTGTAAATAAATTTATCGCTATATATTGGAAAATTTTGATAATTTTTGTAGTCGTGATAAATTTGAAATATTTCCTGCCCGATTTCCTTGTGAATTAAAAAAAAATATCGCTATATATTGGAAAATGTCGATAATTTTGGTAGTCGCGATATAATTTGTTTTTTTGTATAAAGTGGCTATATATCCCGACCCTTCTGTAATACATTGTTCTACTCATAATAGCTAACAAATCATCCTGCAGGTCTCTCAATTCTTTCTTTGTTCAAGGTAACATTCACATTGTCTTCTCCTCTCCCCATTGTGTACACTTGCCAACTAAAGTCGTGTCACCTCGCCTACCTCTTCATGAACCCAGAGATTCAGAGACCTGTGAAACTGAAACAGGTCTCTGAATCTCTGGGTTCATAAAGAGGTAAGTGAGGTGACAGGAGTTTAGTTAGTGAGTGTACCTATTTTCCTCACTTTTTGCCTACATGCACTATTAATCTTCTCCCTAGTGCAGTGCAGTAAGATTTCTTCTGAACATATTCACTAACACTGATAACTTCACTTCCAAATGACCCATTAGAGTAGTGTTGCGCACAAACAACCCGTGACTTACATCCCATTTGCATTGTATACAGAAACCCTCAAAGATCTGGACCCGGGAAATCTGGATTTTGGAAGATCCGGACAAAAAGTTTGGGGGTTATGGGCTAAGAAGCCTCCTAGAAGTTTCCCTAAGAAGCATTCCCAAACCAGAGCAAAGAACATTTTAGACCCGTGGGTGCTGCTTGACCCTTCAGTTGCTTGGACATGGGTGCCTGAGGAGGTGGGAAACAAACAAGAGTTGACAATTGTTGTTAGTGGGAATATTTTTTCATCCACTCTAGTAATGATTCATTGTTTCTTATTATGTTATCACAGGTAAATGCATGATTTATATACAGTAATTTGTTTATCACTACATTAGTACTGTATTTTTGGTGTTTCTTTTATCATTTATTATTCGCCAGAAAATCCGGACAATCGGCTTTTCCGGACAGGTGGTCCCCCCTTTTAGTCCGAATCTTCGAGGGTTCACTGTACAGTATTATTATTTACAAAAAATTTTATAAAAAAATTTGACCAGAATTTATTTGTGTCAGGGTCTTGTGCTTGTAATTGTATATCAAGTACAGTATTATTCCCTGAACTTCTTTTATAGTGTAGTACTGTATACTTTAATGGAGCTTTTGTTACTTAAATTTTCCTTGGTTTGTTTAATTATGTATCATGCTTTTCAATACATTTATGCTGTACTGTATTGAACATAGTGGTCCCTCGGTTAACGAGCACAATCTGTTCCAGCAGGTTGCTCGTTAACCGAAAATCTCGTTAACCGAAACCATTGTTTCAATGGGTTTTTGGGTAATTGGTTCCAGCTCACCGAAAATTGCCTAAATTCAACAAAAATGGTAGAAAATTTCACTTACTTTGAGGTGTGTATGTAGAAGGCTCCTGGATGATGATGATGATGATGATGATGATGATGATGATGATGATGTGCATTTGAAGTGGGAGGTGGAGGAGGAGAGGGGAGAAGAGAAGGAAGTGGAGGTGGAGGAGAAGCATTTTACTGCTTCTTGTAAGGTGAGTCACCTTCCATGAAAATGTCAGGAACCTCTGGACTGACAGATTCTCCACCATGAACATCCTCCCTCCTTCTTGAAGTGGAAGGCTGAGGGATAGCATCTTGTTCCCTCTGCCTTTTACTGAAGAAAGTGTTAGTTGTGGTCTGTGGGGCATCTGTCCTCCTCACCATTAACTTATGTTTAAAGAAGGAGACCACTGAGTCCTCAACATGACACAAAGTTAGTTCAGTTTTTTCCACTTCTGGGTGCTTTGAATCCAGTTCCCTGAACTTCTCCCAGTAGTAAATCACATCTTTCAACTGTTTAGTTGACATATGGTCATCACTTTCAATTTCCTCCTCACCACTGTCAGCCTCTACCTGTAACATCTCATCCAGTTGCTTCAAGTCATCAGGAGTAAGTTCCTCCTCATGAGACATCACAAGCTCTTCCACATCCTCCTCCTCCACTTCAAGGCCCAATGACTGACCATTGGACACAGTCTCCTGGTTCAACTCTGTTTCTTCCTCAAATCCCTCAAAATCATGGACTACTGATGGCCACAGTGCTTTCCATGAAGAATTGAGGGATCTAGTGGAGACTTCTTGCCATGATGACACAATCAATTTTACAGTCTCCAGGATGTTGAATTGTGTCTTCCAGAAATGTTTCAGTGTTAGTTCAGGATCATTGGAAGTTGCCTGATGACACCTAAACATTTTCTTCGTGTACAATTTCTTGAAGTTGCTGATCACATTCTGGTCCATTGGCTGTATGATTGATGTAGTGTTTGGAGGCAAAAACAACACTTTCACAAAGTCAAATTGATACTCCAAATTTCTGGCAAGGTCAGGGTCATGACCAGGAGCATTATCCATGAGGAGAAGAGCCTTTAAAGGGAGTTTATTGGTGGTTAGGTAGCTCTTGACAGAAGGGCAAAACACATCAACAGCCCATTCATTAAAGAGCTGTCTTGTCACCCATGCTTTACGGTTGGACTTCCAATAAACTCCAAGCTTTGTTCTTACCACCTTCTGTTGCTTGAACACCCTGGGGTTTTCAGAGTGGTAGACAAGCATAGGCTTCAGTCGGAAATCCCCTGAAGCATTGGCACCAAGTAATCGAGTGAGACGGTCTTTCATGGGTTTATGCCCAGGTAAAGAGGCTTCTTCTTTGGTGATGAATGTTCTTTTGGGCATCTTTTTCCAGAACAGCTCAGTTTCGTCCACATTGAACACTTGCTGTGGAAGATAATTTTCTTCTTCCATCAGTTTTTTAAATTCATCTAAAAACTTTGCTGCCCCTTCCTTATCAGCACTAGCAGCTTCACCATGCCTAACAACACTGAAAATGTCACTTCTTTTCTTAAATTTTTCGAACCAGCCTTTGCTGGCCCGAAAATCTTCAAATTCTGTGCCTGAAGAACCAGGTTGATCTGTCTTTAAATGTTCGTAAATCTCCCTGGCTCTTTCACAAATGAATTCAGTAGAAACTGAATCACCTTTCATCTGTTTTTCCCTAATCCAGATGATAAGTAACCTCTCAGTTTCTGCAATTAGGGATCTACTTTTAAACTCTCTTGTAGATTTGTCTCTCACTTTCACTTCTTTAAATTTGTCTTTCTGTGCAAGAATTGTCGACACAGTTGATGTCGACATGCCATATTCTTTGCATAGCGCATTTGTTCTAATGCCTTGTTCATGTTTTTTTATGATTTCCTGCTTCGTTTGGATTGAAATCGCTTTTCTTGATCTCTTAGGCCCCATGCTTGATTCAAACAATGTCAACACGTGCTTTTCAAAGTTAAACTTGTTGTAAATAAAGAATATTTTCTTTAAAATAACACTGCACTGCGCTATATATTGTCAATATGTAAAATAAATTTCAAAATGACCAATAATTTGCTTGGAAACACAGAAAAAAGCCTTTAGTTGAAGAGTCTCAAGCAAGATGTTACCTCCAGTGAAAACAGAGAGAGACTAACGCCTGTTTGCTGTGTTAAGAGGCTGGATGCCGCGCATTAAACTAGTTACTTTACCTTCAATTATGTTCAATAATTGTTAAAATGACTAAAAAATTCAATATTAAACTTTTAAAATTATTGAATAGTATAAACTTCTTGATATATACTAAAATAGTAAGGAATTTAAGCCCTAGAACCGATTAATGTATTGGCGGACTAATACTACAGCTGGTTGACCGCCCAGTGCAAGCCAAAACTTGTTGAGGCTGGCTCGTAAGAAACTCGTTAACCGAGGGGTTGCTCGTTAACCGAATTTAAGAATCTTATGGGAGGTAACTCGTTAGCTGAGGCGCTCGTTAACCGAGGGACCACTGTATATGAAATGGGAATACAGTATACAGTAAAGTACTTTGATTTTTTTGTGTGAAATATTAACATTGTATACTTTAAACCCTGTATTTTTAGATAAAATGAACCAGTTGCTTCAGATTGGTCTGCTGACTGTCCATTCAGATAATGACAGTGATCCCTTCATCACCATCAAAGACAAAGATGATCATGACAGTGAAGATGGGGATGATGAGATTTTACCTACAGACAACCTCATTGCTGTTGGACATGTTGAAAATGATGCTGCCATCCTAGAAGTTTATGGTAGGTCACCCAGCTTAGTTTGTCCCTCTCCTATTTTTGCATTTAATTTATTGTAAATGGCTTACATAAAGACAATGCCAAATTATGAAACAGGTTATATCACTATAAAGACTTTTGGAGATTGTGTCTGATACTATTTTTTCTTTATTTATGCAGTATGTATGTAGTTCTAATGTGGTTGTATATTCTACATAATGAGGAGTGTAAACCCTTTGTTTTATGCATATACAGTTAATTATTTATTGCACGTATCTGTAATTTAACCTTAACAAAAGATAATATAGGAAGTTTTTGTTAATTATGCAACCCTCTTGGTCCCTCAAAAATAAGTAATGAATTAAGAGTACCAAAATTTGTCTGAGGTGCTCCTCAAGTAAAAATCTGAGGAAGCAGAGTTACTTTCGGGAAACTTGTTTATTCAAAATAGTCTATTCAGCTCAATAGCAAAGTACCGTAACTTTCCTTCATTATCGTTCACCTCAAAAATGCTCTGATATGAAATGAAGTATTGTATAGTCTACTGTACTAATTTTGCACATTAAGGAAGACATTGCTAGAGTACTAAAAGGATTGATAGCCACAAATAGTGAACAGTACGAATTGTGTGTAAACAGAGACACCACAAAAATGGCATGATGGCAGAATAAATGCACACAGAGGACTGAAGTAATGTATGTGTCAGTGGCCCGGCTGTTAGAGAGGTCGTCAGCATTAGGACATTCATACTACCGACCACCGACACAGTACAAAGTATGGAAGAGTCTGTGTCATCAGGCAATTGACACTGAAGAGCTGGCGAGTGCACTACGGGACGTGGAACCACCCAACGTGACTGGTGGCGAAGACATCGGCTCAGCTATCTCAGTGGGATGTCACATCATTATGAAACACAACTAACAGGTTCGCCAAGCAACAACCAGGATATGGAAACGTGTGGGACGAGGCTCAACCGCGATGGAAAATATTATTGGATGAAAATGATTGTAAATTGATTTGGAAATCGATTAATTGGAAAGGAATCATTGAATTATGTAATGTGGAACAACCGATTGATAACAATTTAAAGGACATTTTGAAAAACTTTTAAACCCAATGAATGTCCAAGACATGGGATTTGATGATAGTGAAGAGGATGTTCCCTACATACCAGTATTAGATGACCCGTTTACAGTTGAAGAATTGGACCAAGTTATTAAAAGCATGAACAAAAACAGATGTTACAGTGGAATATGCACAGGCATAATTAGTAAACTACCTGCATCATGGATATTGTTTATCTTGACAATATGTAATGTTGTGTTCACTGTCATACGGTATCCGATGATGTGGTGTTAAAACAAACTGGTTGTTTTGTTTAAATCTGGAAACAGAATGATATGTAATAACTATAGAGGAATTAGCATAATGGATACTCCAGCGAAAATATATGATACGTTAATATTGAACAGACTTCGGTTATGATGTAATATAGATAAATTTCAAGCCAGTGCACAAAAAAGTAGAGGATGTATTGAACAGATTATTGCTTTAAGGTTATTATGTGATTATGCTGTTTATAAAAAAATTATGTTATATGTGTTATTTCTAGTTAGTCAAACTTATGACACTCCCTCGTAGGAAGCTGATAGACCGCCTTAAGAGTTTAAGATGTGAAAAAATAATTTTAAAAGCGATAAAGTCCGTGTCCACTTGTACAAAAAATGTATTAAAAGCAGCAATACACCCTGTAGTTGATGCGTCTATCAGGGTCCGCCAGGGAGCTCCGACGAGCTGTTTATTGTATATTATATATATTGTTCATATGATAAAATTGATAAAGAGAGCATTTGCTACAGATGGTTTCTTGGGTAACTTACATGGTTTACTATTAATGGATGATGCTGTAATACTGGCAACAAATACGGGGATGTGTAAAAAGAAACTCAGCATTGTATTACAGTATTGTTAAGACTATGGAATGGTGATTAATGAAAAGAGAACTAAATTTTTTTGTGGTTAACAGCCAAGAAAGAGATAAACATTTTCTGACGACAGAGGGAATTGATGTGAGCTGTACAACCCAGGTACTTGTACCTCGGGGTTTGGTTCACCGACTCTGGAAAAATGGATAGTGTACTGTCTTTGCACCAGACAGCAAGTGAAGCCACGGTCAATAAGTTTTCCATTTTCTGTGCAGCCAACACTTAAATGCCATTTGTATATAAGAAAAAGTATTTGATTCTGCAGTAACGTCATCATTATTTTACAGTTCTGAGTAGTGGCTGACCAATAACTTGAAAGGATTGGAAAGACAATATAATAAACTGGTGAAGTGTTTGTTAGGCGTGAGGAAAAACACGAGTATGAATCTGTGCATGATCGAGTCAGGTATTCCCCCAGTGCAAGACATTTTTGCAAAGAGGAAATGCAAGTTTATGAAATCAAAACATGAGATAATGAACCTGGAACAACCTCTTCATTTTGTATATGATTTATGTAGGATAGCAAATACACCAGGATTTAGATTCATGGTGAGAGCAATTACCTTAGACTGTAACACAAACCCATTAGGCAGAGTGGCAAATCTGGTAATGGAGAAGTCAGCTGGCGCTACAAAATTTACTACATACATATCCAATCTGAACCTTTTTATGATAGTGCATGAGGTATACTTAAGTAAGAAATTTATTCCGGATTTTCAGCGTGAGTCGTTCACCAGGCTGAGGCTAATGTCACACCCTTAAAGTAGAGACAGGCAGGTGGCGTCGCACACCAGCAGAGTTGAGAGTATGTCAGTGCAACGACAGTCATGTACAAAATGAACGACATTTGTTGATTGATTGTCTGCTCTCTGCACATTGTCGTGAAAGGTATCATAGGCTGACTTTCTCCAGTATCAGTGAACTCTTAAATGAAAATGTATATGTGCCTGAATTATGTACCGCGTAATTATGTACATGAGGTACTAGGAATCTATAGTTAAGCTTGAAATTGCCCTTTACATGTTATGTTTTGATTTAAAATATTTTGTTGGACAAATGTATTTTGAATTCTTCGTATATATTTACCATGAATTTATACTTTTGTCAATAAACTACGAACTAACTACGGAAATGACGCCAGGTGGACAGCTCCCCATATCACATGAGAAGTCAACACAAGGACCACCTGAATTTCATACTTCATATTTAAGATGTTGGATTTTCCATAATCATAAATATTTGTTTGATAGCATTAAATTATCTGACAGCCAAATTTGAGAAAGTTATGGTCTTAAATTATGAGGCTTTGATGAATATAGATTTTGATTGAGCTTCACCATTCTTTAATGCTTGGTTTTCTATGCATATAAATGTTCACATCTTTGTTCTCCATTATGTGAAATTCTGTTTTTTACATCTATGACAGTTTATAATGGAGAGGGAAGCAGCTTTTATGTTCACCATGACATTCTGCTTCCTGCTGTTCCTCTTTGTATGGAGTGGCTCAATTATGACCCAGGAGATGAACAGCTTAAACCAGGTACAGTACAGTATCGTATAGTGTGGTAAAGTTGGCTTTATATCGGGTTCAGGATGTTGCTCTGACATTGGTTAAGGTTACATTGTTTGACATCTTAAGTTTTCATGTATGGAAGATTTTAGGAATTATTGTTATCCCCATCCAGGGCTGAGGTAGGTGTATTGATGGGTGGGTGGGTGGGGGTTACCTTATAAGATCAACTCAATCCCTTACCCTTACATCGTTGAGTCATAATAAACCAGCACTCTAAAGAAACATTAAGAAAATGCAGTCTCATTGGACATGCAGGGAACATGACTGACTGGGCACAAGCACCCAGTCAGTCATGAGGAACAGCTCCAGTTGTTCAGCCATGTTTATAACAAAGTTGATGAGATCATGTGGGAATTCTTGATAAGCAGATGTGCCCTTAGGGTCAATTTGTAGGTATAAATTTGAGTATTACAGCTATGCCGAATTCAGTTATGCTGGCCTTTGGATTTATGTACTTCAGCTGTATATTGCATGTTTAGTATTAGATTTCTGAATAAGTACAAACTACTACAGTATAGTGCATGGAATATGAAGTAATGAATATTTATTCAAATTTTTCAGCTAACATGATGGCTATTGGGAGCATGTCACCGGTAATAGAGGTTTGGGACTTGGATCTGGTAGACTGCCTGGAGCCAGCCTACACCCTTGGTAAGAAGGGCAAGAAGAAAAAGAAGATTGCTGGAGCTGGACACAAGGAGCCAGTCCTTAGCCTTGCATGGAACAGACATGCCGAGTTAGTTCTTGTTATTTTCTTTGTATTTTTGGTGGTTCATTCCATATGAGAAGTTCCCTTAAGGGAGCTCAAAATGTTCTCTTTGGATAGGCTCATTTTCTGTCCTCATGGTCCTGGTGCCAAGTGTATAGGAATCAGTGTGTGTGTCTGTCAACAGCCTAAAGTTGTTTGTCCTTAATCAGAATTATGTAACATCAACTTGTCCAACAAATTTCCATGGCGTTTCCTGAATTTTGGTATAAATGATGTACCTAGGCTCTTTGAACAGTAATTAATGCACACAAGGAAGGGAAATGACCATAAAGCAATAATGATGATAATTTAAGAGGGAGAGACCCAGGAATGTGAAAGACTTGCGTGATAAAATAAAGATGGAGTACAGTACTATACTGTGTAATGATGGTATGAAACTTAAAGGATTACTCTCACAAAAATCATTAAGAGGATGTGTTTTTTTTAGTGTGGTAATTGTGACATTAAAAGAAAACAAAGGTAGAATGAGGGGAATTTATGATAATAATTTAAGGGATAACACTGGGAGAATATAGAAAGCTATCAAGTTATTGTGTATTGTATAGAGGAGATTGTTCATGATTCACCGTCCTCTAAGAAGATTACCATGTTGGACGTAAATAGATAGAAATAAAAAAAATCTTCATACTACTTTTGTAGAAGACTTAAAAATATTCCCACATTTCTGTGTATCTTATATACAGTATACAATATATGATAAATTAAATACGATACAGTGTATATATTTTTCTCTCAGGCATATATTAGCCAGTGGGTCAGTCGATGAGACAGTCATATTATGGGACCTTCAGCAGGGCACAGTTGCCCAGCAATTAACATCTTTTGAAGAGAAGGTTCAATCCATCAGCTGGCACCACAATGAAGCTCACACTCTTCTAACTGGCGCTTGTGACGGGTCAGTGCTAATTTTCTTTTCTTTGTTTTCTAATATTTAAAAATTATGCTTCTGGACCTGTATAGCATTGTCTTGTTAACTCATGAATCAATTATCTTTTATGAAATATTTTATTTTGTTACTTTGTGCATAAAACTGGACACAGGTGAAACTGATTCTTTTTTTTTTCTTTTTTTAAATATTACATCTTCCTTTTAGTGTTTATTGTATGTACGTTGACTTTGGAAGGTGTTCCACTTGTGTTTTTTTAATTTATGTGACTTAAGAGACACCAGCTCACCCTTCAAGAAAGAATTAGATTTTTTTTTATGGGATTAGCCCACCAGGGCACAGGCCTTCATACCACAAAATTTTATATTGTAGATGATATTTATTCAATCTAAATCATACTGGTATTTATGAACTTTATCTAATGTTTTGCAGAAAAGCAAGAATATTTGATTGCCGCAGTAGTGACACCTGCAAAACCTGGAAGCTTGATGGGGAGGTTGAGTGTGTAATTTGGGAAACAGTTACTGATAAGCAATACAGCTGTGTGGTAAGTTGTTTATACAAGTACGGGGGCTCTCCGACTTGCGAACAAACGCCGATACAACGAGGTTAAACTTTAAATTGCAGTACAGGGTATTTTACTTACCCGATGACTTAGCTTATACTTTCATTTACTGTATTTTGTCATTCTATTTCTTTTATCTTAAATTAAATGATTTTAGTTGTATATAAGGACTTAGGCTGTGATATAGTGGGATTTTAAACATTGTTCTCTAAGTACGGTATGCACATAGCATGTGTTTCGACTTACGTACATTTTCGATCTAAGAAAGTCCTCAGGAACGGAACCTGTTCATAACCCGGGCACCTCCTGTACAGTGTTTAGATTTTGAGGATTACAGCTGAAATGGGCACAAAAAAAAACTTTCTTAGAATTGGAAAATAACCCCTGTAATGTGTTTAACTACTTTAGTGCATCCAAAATAACACAAAAATACCAAAGTGTGCCATGGATTGACTGTAGGTTGACATGATTACAGCTGTAAAAGAGAAGTACAAGTATTTAATTCAGGTACTATACCATACTGTACTGTACTTATATATCTAGCCACCTTTCAGTTGCAGGACAAGCTCATGTGCCTGAAAAAGAATAAAGCATATGGTATGTGTTGTATGGTGAAGTACATAATTATATGAGAGAGAGATCAGTATTATTTGTGTCAGCATTGAAATTGCTTTAATTTTGTTTTATTGCAATGGGATGTTAATGAATGCAGTATTCCCTTAAAGGTACTACCGCCTGGGAAGATATTGGTAACATAATGTATTGTCTAATGGTAGACCCTGCTGCCATATGACATCATGAAAATTGTGACCAAGTCCCAGATTGCTGATCTGACTTTCTGCCTCATTTACACACAATTGCAGGGTCTCAATTGTTTCTCTCACTTCAACACAACATGCATATATTGCATTTCAATCTTGATCTTTTATTTCATTTTTGTATTTATTATTAATAAGATGCACCCTATAATTAGCAAGGTATATTTTGGAAAAGGATTTTTTGCAGATTTAATCGTTTACTGTACTGTCAAAGCCAAATCACTAGCTATATGCTATCATGTTTCTCAATACCACAACTACGATCACTGTGTGGACCTATGTCCTTGCAGTGTTATTTCATGTTTACATTTATTTATTTATGTTATTTCATATTTATTATATTGTCTTATGCATACATAATGTTGTTATACATGTGCATAAAGCTATTTCTATATGTATTTTGCACACTCCTGGGACTGACATGAAAAACTCTTGGATTATGCTTTCTCATGGGGTCCATTTTACCTAACCCCAGCAAGCTTTAAGGGAATAATGTACTGTATATGCATATTGATCACAGACATTTGTCGCAGGTCAGCACAGACCAAGGGACTTTGTTTGGCATTGATGCACGACAAGAAAAGCCATTATGGACTCTGAATGCACACAATAAAGCTTGCACAGGTAAGATTTATTCTTCTTGGTGTTTTATTTATGGATCATCTGTCAACTGAATTGTTTAATTTTATTGAAATCATGGCACAGTGAATTTTTTGTGACCTTTGTTTTTACGTATCTCAACATTTATAATGGGAGTTTATGGGAAAACGTGATTCGGTTTACCCCCAAAAAATCTATATACAGTAGGACCTCAAGTTTCGTGACTAATCAGTACCGGTTTTAGTGTCGAGAAAGTTAAAATCACGAAACGAGTGACATTGAAATACACGTAGTTAACCCTAATCAGTTCTGCGGTGTCACCCAAACCCCCCTATAATGACCTACAACCCACCAAGAAAATGACATTACTGTAATGTATTCATACATATTATATTGTACATAGTGTTGATAACAATATATATATATATATATACACTCGTACTGTAGAATAACTTACCTTGATGGAGTCAGTGTACTTGATGGGGCTAGTTAATGGGTTCCGAGTCAGGGAGGGCTGGTTACTGCTTCCTCCCTGCTCCTTCATCAACACCACCTCTAACCTCAACATCAGATCCACCTTGAGGTAACTCATCCACCAGTAAGTCACCAACACTTCAATATCATCATCGTTGGTGCCATCATCATCTCCTAAAGTGATGTTTCCAAGGTATTAGTAACAGGCTGGGCATTGTGCAGGTACCGAGTAATAAGGGCCTGCTGACGAGCATTAACACAGGACATGTACTATTGTGCACAAAAATCGTGTCCACTACCCAGCCACAGTGAGGTTTCGAATAACATTGAGTTTGAAGTTTCGAAACAGCTGGGGGAAATGCTATGGTCGGCCAACAGATGTTGCCCACTGTCGTGTGTGTTGGGGGGTGGGGGGGGGGGCTGGATGAGAGGCAGGTTTATTTATTATTTATACCACCATAATTTCAAGCTGCCTTTTTAACTACGTTTTGTCTTACAGTTGTTTCTTTTTGGTTACGAATTCATGGAACAGGTGCAGTGCCCTGGGTGCTTATTGCCGCTCAGGTCACAATGATACTTTAAAGAATGAAATATATTAAGGATAAAAGTGAAATATCCAAGGATCAGGGTGAAGGGCCTTGGTCAGCTAGTTTTACTCAGCGACCACGTCACAATTTTGTTGTTATTCCGACAAAGAGATTATGGTAATATTTATTTATATTCCACCCATCCTCTGCTAAATAAATATTTGTGATAATATGCAATATTATATAATTATATACTTATGTTAAAAAGAGTAGAGTGAAAAAGTTATCAGTATTGTAAAATAGTATTCAGACTTAATCTAGTTCCAATTCTTCCAAGTTCCAGTGTTTAAAGACCCCACCACAATATGCAAGCTTCATATATTTTGGAGCGTGCTCAGTTACCGTTAATATTGTGTGCTGAACATCATGAGCATTTCAATGATGGTAGCAATTGTAACTATATAATTATATTGTGTTATAAGATAACACATTCCACGACGTGTCATACAGATCATTGTATACCACACAATACATAATTTGTGACTGTTAAGTTACTTTGTTATGAATTTTCATGCGATATAGTTTAAGACATCATTAAGGACATGGATTTAAGATAACACTGTAGGTGAATTAAAATATATTAATTGTATTTACAAACAATACTAAATTCCAAACAATACACCAATACACACATCTTAGTATTTGGTCGAGTCACCCATTGCATTCAGGACTTCATCAAGGCGATTAGGGATGGAGTCGACCAGCTTCAGGCACACCCCTGGTCGTTGACGTATACTCTCCCACACGTCGTAAGCTTTGGCCTCTATTGCTGCGCAGGTTCGCTGCTCCCCAATATCCCAATCACGTTTCATCATGGCCCAAATATGTTCAATCGGATTAATATCACATCCTAGTGTTGGCCAGTCTATGACTTCAATTTCAGGGTGATCCTGGAGGTAGTCCTTCACTATGTTGCTGGTATGAATGGGACTGTTGTCATGAACCAGCCTGATAGTGTGGGGGGCTGGAACTGCCATAGCCCGGACTGTAGGAATTAGCACTTGCTCCAGGATGTCTACATACTGCTCACCAGTGAAACGGCCATTGATCTTGACCAGTTCACCTGGCCCATGTGCCCACATCCACCCCCAGAATGATACTGACACCCTACCACTCACTGCGCAATGTTGAATGGTAGCGTGTGTTGGGGGGCCGCCAGCACTGCCTTGCTTCGGCTCCCACTGACCTGAACACCGTTTCATTAGTAAATATAATTTTTCTCCAGTATTCTTCTCTATGTGGAAGGTGTTCCAATGCAAAGCTGAGTCGACACTCCTTGTGAGTAGGTGTTAGCCACCCTTTGTGAGCTGGAATATGGCAGTCGATCCCAGCTTCATGAAGTCGGCGACTCGTCGTCATGTGATGGCAGTTGAGGCCCAGATTTCTTGTATGCTCCACTGATGTTCGCATTGGATATGCCGTTGCAGCTGCCACGATCATGGCGTCCATCCTTGCCGACGTTACTCGTGGCCTCCCGCTTCGAGGTTTCGTCTCCACTGAGCCCTCTTCCTCCCACCGGCGGATCCACCTCCTAATCGTCTTGGTGCTCCTCCCCACTTCGAGAGCAATGTTCGGCACAGTTGCCCCGGCTCTCCACATCCCGATGATTTGGCCTCGCTCAGCAATCACTGCCGACGAATTTGCTCGTCCTGCAGGCATATCTGAAATGGCAGAGTAATATTATGTTGTGGTAACTGATGCAGGCTTTTATATACTAGAGTAAATTAATGGTATTAGTAACACCTAGGTTAAGTATTATTACTCTGACATAACGTTTTGGTAAATCTTTTTGGATCAACTGCCCAAGAAACCCTTCCTATTTCATGTATTCATAGTGAACTGCAAGTGGATCCTCCCCCCCCCCCCAAACCTCCACCACCACCCCTGCGACTGTAGAGTGAACATTCGCCGATAATCATCATCATCATCAAGATTTAGTTTAACCAGACCACTGACACCCATTTGAGTCTCTCCTAGGGCTGGCCAGAGGGATTAGTTAACATATATTTGTGTTTCTATAATTTAGTGTTATATTGTTTGGAGGAGATTACAGTATTTCAAAAAGGTCAAAACTGAACTTAGGGAAAATTTTGGGGTCTCTGCTAAAATATCTTACATTGTAGGGTTAGTGAAGCACATTGTTCGATACCGATTATAAATAGGGCATTCAATGAGAATATGTTGGACTGTTATTTGTGTTCGGCAGTTGGAGCATATAGGTGGGGCTCCATTAGGGGAAGACATGAGTTGGCCATGCGTCAATCGCGTATGCCCAATTCTTAGACGATTCAGAATAGTTTCGTGATGTCGAGAGGATTGTTTTGACGGTGACCAAGGATAACCTGATGATTTGATCATTTTTAGCTTATGACTTGTTGGTTCATTTTCCCAGGACTTTTGCCAATCGTCAAATATTAATTGTTTATAGGTAGTTAGCCTCGCTGATAATCAAAATATATGGTTTTCCACTGCTTTACATATTTCTTTGACAATTTTCAGCTATGACATACTTATCTCTGGTATCATATTCTTCTAGCTGTTCACTGAGAGTGCGATGGTTGTGAGCAACTCAGTCAGCTGGCGTGTTGTAGGTTCACCAGGCTTAACGTCATCCTCTTGTGTTGCTTGCTGCTGTTCTTGTTCTTCATCCTCCTCCAACATTTATTCAATTGTCGGCTGCTGTCCGAAAATCCCGGTGCTGGGACGGACTGCGCTGCCTCCACTGTGTCCAATAGTGTTGCTGTGGCACGGACTGCCTCTGCCCGCTTGCCTCGGTCTGCTCTGCCCCACTTACCTCGGAGTTAGCGGACCAAAGGCTTCCATGCATGTAGCAGTGTTGTAACATTACTCTTATGCCATGCCTCAACAAGTCTGTCCACTGCATTTTTAATATTATATTTCTTCCCAAATTCCCACTGATAATACTTCACAATTGAGGGGTGTGGAGTGCTAGGAGTCGAGTCATCTACCATCTCCTCCTCCTCCTAATGGTTAGCTGGTAGAGCCTGGTCACTGTCAGAAAGTTCTGCCTCGTTTTGTCTTAAATCAACTGATGAGTCTGTCTGCTGACGAAAGTCTTTATAGAGTGACTGATAGTAGAACAGTTTAACATAACTGATGAAATCGTGGTCAATGGCTGCAGAAGCAATGTGGTGTTAGGAGGAAGGAAGATAACTTGTACATTAGGGTGGTGTCCAATTAGAAACTTAGTGTCCAGGAGCATTATTCATCACCAGGATCACTTTGAAATCCATGTTCTTCCTCCAGCAGTACTGTTGGGCGTCAGGAACAAGTGCTTGTCAAACCAATCGGTGCATAAAGACGTTATAACCCAAGCTTTCGTATTAGACATCCAATAAACATTGAGCTGCGACATATTGGCATGGCGGAAGGCTCTAGGACAGGCAGCACGGTTAACAATCAGGGGTTTCATCAAGAAATCTCCACTTGCATTAGCTGTGAATAAAACTGCAATCCTGTCCTTTGAAGTCTTTACACCCCTTGCCTATTTTTCATCCTTGGCAATGAAAGTGGTCTTTGGTGAGCACTTCCAGAAAATTAGGGTTTCATCACAATTGAAGACCTGGTCTCGGCAATAACCACCCTCCTTCACAAGAGCTTGAAAGACAGGTAGATATTTTTCTGCTGCTATGACATCAGCCGATGCACTCTCCCCATGGTAGTGGGCAAACTTGACTTCATAACCCTTCTTAAAGGCAGCCAATCAACCAACAGAAGCATTGAACGGTGGTGGAGAGTTAACGCGTTTCTTCTGTGCAACTGCTGCGTAATAAACATGTGCTTGATGCCTTATCTGTGGCCCAGACAGGTCGCCCTGCTCACGGTTTCTTCTTTCCACCCACTTGTGAAGGTAGTGTTCTGTGATAACAAGCAGTAGGTTTCATTGTGAAGTATCGGAGAACGTCCTGTTACTCGAAAATCTTGAGAATACATTCACAGAAGCAGTTAAGGCTTCCTTGTCTTCTTAACCCTTACGCCCTGGGTGACAAACCGGAACGCCCGACTGGCGCACCCTGGGTGACGTTCCAGAACGCTCGCCTTTTCACGCTACTGTTTAAATGCCCAGCGCGGGTTATCAGGTTCCAGTGTGACTATTTGCCTGTCACGCCACATGCTCGACTGCAGGGAAGCTTCCTGAATGTAATTACCTACTTTTGCTTGTTTCATTTTCATTGTTTGTCCATTTTATCATGTTGTATCAAAGTAATATTGCTAAAAGTAGTGTAGTTGTATTGTAGTGTAGTATTACTGAAAAGTAATGCAATGATTATGTTGTAAATGTATTTATTTGTGGAATAATTATTATTTTATGCATTACTTGCTCTACCACACACAAAGACAGCCTGGTGACCAACTGCATGTGTGTTGCCGAGCACTTTTTATGAAAAATAATGCAAATAAAATATTCTAAATGAATTGTTTATAGCAAATAAGTATTATGATCAGTAAATATATGCATTACTGGCCATCCCGAACACAAAGGCAAGCGGAAAATGGCCGCTCAGTGCGTAGTGACCACGAGCGTCAGCTGTCAAAACAACACTGTCCTTTTATCTCCATCACCACTGCTGCCACAGGGAAGTTTCTAGAGGGTCAATATATAGTTTTTCTTACTTATTTTTTATTGTTTTATTATTTAAAAAGGTTAAAATATTTTTTGAGAAAAGTTTTGATTTTTCTCGATTTACCACTGTGTGGGAGCACATGGCCAGTGGCACCCTAGCCTGGGGCTAGCTAGGGGGTTAAGAGAACGTATGGCTGATATGGGGCAGTTGAACCTACACATGTTTTCACAAGTACGAGCACCACTTTTGATCATTTCAAGCATTTCTCATTTAATTTCAAGGGTGTATTTCTTCTTCTTGACCCCCTTATGGTAGTCAAGCTTGGCTTGGGGCTTTCCTTGTTGACCTTCCCTATGGCCATCATTACCACCAGAACCGCTCCCGACATTTACATTACGCACTTCACTCATTGTTAATACACAATAAACACTAATACACAAGAATCGGTAATAGTTGAACAAGAATCTCGCTAAATTTAAGCACAACGGGTTATATAATCCAAGGTCACTGCACAGCTCGCTCATTCAAACTAACTGCCATAAACAAAAAACACGGCGGGTCGACGGATAACAAAAGACCGTGACAATGCAAGCTGCCCACTCTCCAATGACTCGCGAAACTGGTAATGAAAATCACTATTTTTGAGAGGCTGGAAATTTTAAAAGTGACTCGAAACATATGAATCACGAATCTAAAACTCGCTAAACTTAAGATCCTACTGTATGAAACTTTTTTCAGGAACTGAACCTTCTCATAAATCAGGGAATGCGTGTAAGTCCATCCAATCTTAATATTTATTAAATGACAATGTGAACCAGGGTTCCCACAATGAATTAAAGTTACTGTAATTCAGTGTGGCAGTTAGACATACTCTTTCTCTTCTATATTTTTATATGACAATTTTACAGCATATTGATTTGACTCTTCTTCCCATGACAGGTGAAATATATTTTGTTACTAGTTTTTAAGAAAGCTGTCTCGTTTTATATGTTATAATTTCTCATGTTTACTTTAGTGCTTTTAATTTCATCAGGACTTCACAGATAAACAGTCATGAAACAAATTAATGAATCTTATAAATATCTGACACATGGAATTGGAGGAAGTACGGTACAGTACGTTGAGGAATGTTGCATGAATTGTTTTGAATTCTTCTCATGAATGTGTATTTTTGTGCAGGTATACGAATGAGTCCTCAGTGCCCCGGTTGTTTGGTCACTGTATCATATGATGGAAGTGTTAAACTATGGGACATTGCCGATGGAAAACCGAGTTTTATTGAAGAACATTGCCCAACACTTGGACATTTACAGTGCCTTGCATCTTGCCCAGACACTCCTTTTGTGTTCTGTATGGGAGGAGACAACAAGGAGAATAATTTCAAGGTTTGGGATATCCGTGAATCTGTCAATGGTGAGTACATGTTTGGTTGTTTTATAAGTCCAATTCTATAGTATGTCAAGAATCTTGCACCATCTGATAAAGGTTATACAGTACTTCTGACCATAAGATTGTAATCATATACCTGTAATGTAATAGCTGTTTTATATTTACTACTAGAAAGATGGCAGTCATGGTCTTGATTTATTACATTTATATTATTCTATATAGTAGTATATATATTTTAGGGTACAGTACAGTAGTATAAAAAATCAAGGTACACTTTTCATAAAGGCTTCTTGGCTGTGTACAAGACAGTTGCCTACATCTCCAGTCACTGGTGGTACACAGGCCTCTATCTTGACTTCCCACTTTATACTGTTCCTTTAACTGTTTTTCCATTTATTGCATATCTTTCATTATTTTGCCCTTACAAGAAGAGAAAGCTTGTAGTTTTACCCATCTGTCTTCTCTACATCCCCAAAACTGTGGTAATATAATTAGTCCTTCAGTTTCAGTCCTCAACCTTTATATGTTGCTAATTGTACTGCATTTAATTGTCAAATGTATAATAAGGGTTTCACTTAATGGCCAAATATGCGATAAGAACAAAATCTAGATTTTCACCATTTTCATTCAGACACTGGTACTGTATACAATTAATGACCACAGATATGTCAAAAATTTAAACTAACAAAATAAGAAATTCAAACTTTTCATCAGAAAATTCTTGCCCTTAACAAAAATCGGGTATACAGTATAGTCTCGTTTTACGCGGTCAATTAAACCCGTGGAGGTCCGCTTATAACGCGAAACGTTTAAACGAAATAACAGAACATATGGGATTAATTGAAATAGAGACTGGGCCGACCCCCAGACTACCCTTTTTCCGACACAATACGTACGTTGCAGTAAAAATAACATCTTAATTTTATGGTGGTATGCACACACAATTAATATAGAAGAGAAATATCAATAATATTAGGTTTTTTAACACTTACGTTAGTAGAAGAGCTGGCTGGACACACAGGGATGGGAGGCTGGTTCCGAGGCAGAGTGCAGATTAGTGGCTCTCGGGTGTATCACTTGTATCACTATCCACCACAGAGGCCAGCAAGGCCTCTGTGTCAAACCCCTCAAAGTCCATATCTGCACTATCACTGACTTGGGCTGGCTGTGGCTGTGGTGGGTTGTGGGTGAAGAGCTCGGTAATGTTTCGTTGACGGCTAGCATAAATGTGGTCGTGATACATCTGGACATACGGCTCCATAGATTTCAACAGAAGGTTATTTGACACTTCATAGCAATGATTGACTGGGTCTTTGGCAAGGATGAGCTTGATTTTCTCAGCAAACTCGATGACCTCCTTCACATCATCATGTGTTAGTTTCTGTTCTTGTTCTTCTGTAACCTGGCTGTTCACTGACGTCATCATCTTTCAACATCTCGTCCGCAGTCACCTCAGGTTGCCTGATTACCTCCAGGATGTCGTCGTTGGTGGTCTCAGAGAAGCCTGCAGCTCTAACACTTTGTGCAACCTCTCTTGCAATGTCCAATGCCACAGCAACAGACTGAGCCTCACCAGCCACCGCTTGACTCTGCCTCCAACCTGGGATACCCTCCAACACATGCCGCCACGCATGACGAATCGTTGCCACAGACAGCTGCCCCCATGCATCCACCAAGAAATCAACAGCTTTCTTGACCTTAAACATTTTCCAGAACTGCTTGACTCGCACTTCATGGTCTGCCAAATCTTGTTCTGGATCCTCGTCCTCGCTATCGGTGCCACTCAGAAGGTTCTGCAATTCATCCTTGGTGTTGGTGAAGTTGTTGAGGAGCCGAAACTTCTTTGTGGAGAAAGCAGCCTTAACATTGCATATCAACTCCTGATCCATGGGCTGGATTAACGACGTAGTGTTAGGGGGAAGGAAGACCACTTTTACATTGGGGTGACGCTCCAACAATAGGGGCGAGTGTCCTGGTGTGTTGTCAAGGAGCAACAAAATGTTGAATGGAACATTATGTTGCTTGCAGAATTTCTTCACATCAGGAACGAAACAGTTCTCAAACCAGGAGAGGGACAGACCAGTGAACATCCTCGCCTTCCCTGAGGTTAGTCAATGGACATTTAACTTGCTCATGTCCATATTTTTGTAGACATGATGCATGCGGGCTTTGTGGATCACAGACAACATCTTACAAGTGCCGGAGGCATTGGTGGTGAACAGGACGGTGATGCGCTCCTTCTGTAACTTCCGGCCCCGACACTTGCTTGCAGACTTGACTACGAAGGTCTTGGAATGCAATTTCTTCCAAAACAACCCGGATTCATCCATGTTGAACACTTGGTCGTCGGTGTACTGTCCTTCCTCCATAATTTCTCGTAAGAATGGGGGAAAATTCATGGCGGCAGCCCGGTCAGCACTTGCTCCTTCACCAACAATTTCAACGTTCGTGATCTTATTACGACTTTTGAAACCTTGCAGCCACCTAGCGGAAGCAGTGAAGGGTTTGGGCTCTGCAACTCCCATTTTTCTAGCCACTGATTGGTAGAGTTCTCTCGCGTAGTCTTGCACTGCCCGCGTGTCGACCGCCATGTTCCTTCTTGACTGACGAATCAAGTCTTGGGCAGCACCTTATTGTGACAATATTTCACCATCGATGCACCTGCAGACTTTGTGATGCTCATGTGTTCTTTGATCTTGCCGGCATTCTTCTTGATGGTGCAGATCGTCAATTCATTAACTCCATATTGTCGGGCGAGATCCACCTGTCTTGTGCCTTTCTCTATCTCCTGGACAATTTTGTACTTCACTTCATAGCTTAAGGTGCATCGTATCTTCTTGGGCTTGGGCCAGGTAGTTCAAGGTTCCTCTGGGGTGGTGGGGGTCCAGCGGAAGCCATTGTTGAGCAGATTAGCGGGCACGAGAGAGCACTGTATACGCGGAGACAGAGGACAATGGGACTAATGCTTCTAAGGTCAGCGGCTTATTCCCTCTGGTGGTAGGGCACGCCAAGTTAAGTTAGACTAATCACAGCTCGTGGCGGAGGGGATGCACGGCCCAATCACAGTCCGAAACGTCAGCAGTGACGTAAGAGCGACCTAGCACGCAGCTTGTCCGTGCCGCTTCCGGCGTAAATTCAGGAATGTACCGCATAACTAATAATTGGCGCGTCTGGACAGATGCCGCGTAAATGCCCAACCGTGTATAGAAAATCCGCGTAAACCAAGACTATACTGTATATGATAAAAAAATCTTTAATACTGTACTATACAGTAGCTAGTTTACACAATTGGGGTTTTCATACGCAAAAATTGCATGTGATATAAACTATCACTTCAGGGTTTTCATATGCAAATTTGTGCATAAAGTAACAAATTTAAATACCCCTGTAATTTTTTGGGGGTGGGGTTGTGTATGAATGCTAGACACACAAGATACATTTTTGGCAATGTTAGCGCGATCTGTCAACTATGTAGACTGCACTCCAAGATCATCACACCAGTCTCCCTTTTGTGTTTAAAGGACCCAGGATATACAGTCGGCCCTTAACATACGCGGGTTTATAATACACGGATTTGCAAATACGCGGATTGCCCCGCCGGAGGAATATTCTGTACATTGAAGTAATTGAAGTACATTCAAATCGCGCACCATTCAACCCGCGCGCGGCACCGAACACCACCCGCTCCCGCAACCTCACACACACACGCATAGCTCTCCCTCACTCAGTCAGTCTCCCTGTAACCACGCTTGTGTCGACATCAGCATTGTAGTTGCAAAAATATTACATTTCCGTGAATGTATTATATCAAGCACAGTATGAATAGAATATCAATAATATAAGAGTATTTTAACCGAAAACTACTAAAAAAACGAGTAACATCTTGAACATAGGAAGGCTAGGTAAAGTCTTTTGTTTTCATGTAGTTTATCCTAATTTACATTGAAATGCATTACATTTCAGCAAAACTACTATTTATTTCTGAGAATATGGAAATGTAATATTTTGCTGAAATGACGTACGTATTACAGTGGAAAGTGACGAAAGCAATGACTCGCTTTCTTTCGTTCAAAAGATGTTACCGTAATCGCTTTTCGAATCGTTTTCAGTTAAAAAACTGTTGTATTACAATAATATTCTATCCTAATTCACTTGTGATGCAACACTTTTTTAAGTGAAAACCATTCATGGAAATGTAGCATTTTGCTGAAATGATGTATATATTACAGTGGAAAGTGGGATAAAACCATGACGAAAACAATCGACTTTTGCTTTCTTTTGTTGTTCAAAAGATGTTACCGTAATCGCTTTTCAAAATTTAAAAAAATGCAGTAAAGTACACTTACTTAGAGGTGTGTATGTAGAAGGTTCCTGGTTGATGATGATGATGGGAATTAGAAGTGGGGGTGGAGGAGAAGGGAGAAGAGAAGAAAGTGGGGATGGAGGAGAAATCACCTTTCAAGGGACCCATGCTTGATACTGTCATTTCACCAATAAAATTTTAAGTTCACTAGGTGTAATTCAAGATTATTTTATTTAAATCAACACTGCACTGTGCTATATATTATCAATATGTTAACTAAATTTCAGAATGACCAATAATTTCAATGAAAAATGCAAAAATATTCAAGAGACCAACAAAATAGATGTTCACTCCACTGTCAACAAAGCCCAACTGACGCCTGGTGGCTGAGTCAAGCGTCTGATGGGCGCACAAAAAAATAGTTCCCTGTACTGCATATATTATCAATATGTTAAATAAATGTTAAAATGACTAATAATTTTAATATATAAAATGCAAAAATATTAAAGAGCACAACTTTCTTGATATTTACTCCACTGGAAGCGAATGTAAACATAGAACAGATTACTGAATTGGCAGACTAGCCCGTCAGCTGATGCTCACAACAAAACGCGATGTTCGTAAGGATTTAGTTAATCAAAGTTTTGTTCAGTAACCGAGTAGAAGATCCTTATTGGAGGTAATTCGTTAACCGAAATTTCGTTAATCGAACCGTTCGTTAACCGAGGGACCACTGTACAGTACAGTACATAGGGATATTTACAGTTTTTTGTATTTTATTCCCCTACAGCACGTTCAAGATTCTGCCCGCGTGTGGGATTGCCAGTGGATGATGATGATGATGATGATGTTAAAATGGAAGCTGAAGAATCAGTAGAAGACTCTAGTAAAATACAAGTAATTAATCAAGCTTTACCAGCAGCCAGTGCATCTTCTCCAGTCGTAGCTGCCTGTCAACACACAAAAACAAATTCAAAACTTAAATTTGGAAAGAAGAAAGGTGGACATTTAGAAAAAAGGAAGAAGAAATGGTAGGCTGTATTGCTAAATATATACATGTATATTTAATGTTTTGTTTTGTTTTTTCAAAAATGATATCTTGGCCCTGTAAAAAAAAAAAAAAAAAAATTCTGAAATCCAAAAAATTCCAAAATCCGAAACACAACTGGCCCCATGGATTTCGGTTAAGGGGTTGTCAACCTACCGATAACATCTTCATTTGCTGATAAACATTTTAATGGATGTGTAATGAGTGAAACATGTTTACAGCATCTTTCATATTATTGAAAACCTGCATTTGCCATCTAAATAATGCTGCTTTACCATAAGGATAAAGTAGAGACCATAAAAGTAATCAGTACATGTACTGTTAAACATATACAGTACTACTGTACAATGCTATACATTATTGGCATGTGTCACTGAGGTTTGACTATATTTTTTTGTGTAGTGATTGGTGATACACCCTTTGTTGTTATTTATTATTGAATGTAGACCAAAGCTCGCAGTGTGTTCTGGTTTTAGACATCTTTGGAAGCGACAAACTGGAATGAAATACAGTACTGTACTGTAAATTGAGACAACAATGTGCCATTTGTCTTACATGTAAATAAAAAAGAAAAAAGGTACACTTCACCTGTTAGAAAAATCTGTGACCTTGACCTTTTTACCTAGGACCCGGGAATACATTTATCAAGTGTGAATATTATAGCTCTTACCTTTCCTAAGTTATGATGCAGACATATTGTACATCCATTACACTAACATGCCAGGTGGTGACTTTGGCTTTTTGACATAACACCTGGAAGCCCTAAGAGTTTTCATAGTAAGTGCAGTAAACATTAACGTACAGTATACAGTATACCAAACATGAATACTGTTGCTTTCTCCGTTACTGTTCTAAGTTGTTCTTGGACATTTATACATTCATACTTGATAAATTTAAACCATTTGTCTTTAAAAACATAGCAGACTAATGCATCAGTGTAATGAAGAGGTTTGCCAATTACGAACATTGTGACTATTCTGGAGTAATTCAGTGGGCTTTCATGAATTATTCTTAAAACATACATATATGAAACCCCAAATTAAAAAAAAAAAAAAATCACTACTTCAGATGCAAAATTAAGTGAAGTTATTGAGTGCATATATGAGTTAGGAAATCCTTGGAGAAATAAAGACTTCTGTGCATATAATGGTAGCTTGGTAAAATTTATGAATTTGTACCAGTGTTGTCAACAATTAATCTTAAATTTATTGGCTTGCCTTTGGTTTGGTTAGATGTAGAAACACTGCTTGCTTAGTGTTATTTAGGGGATTTTGTTGAAAATTTTAATGCAGGGAATTGTCCAAGCCACAAAGATGAAACACATACTCTGTTATACAGTAAGAAGAACCACACATCTTATGTCATGCTTGTTAGGTGTATGACCAATTTTGAGGGTGTTGACAATGATCTTAATTTGGTCCTCATTCACTTTATGGATCTACTGTACAGTATAAAATATATACAAACAATGTTCTCTGCCAAGAACCAGTAAGGGAGAATAAGGCTGCTTGTGTTAGTGTAGTGTACTGTACAGTGGTCCCTCGGTTAACGAACACAATCCGTTCCAGCAGGTTGTTCGTTAACCGAAACCATTGTTTCAATGGGTTTTTGGGTAATTAGTTCCAGCTCACCGAAAATTTCCTAAATTCAACAAAAATGGTAGAAAAGTTCACTTACTTTGAGGTGTGTATGTAGAAGGCTCCTGGATGATGATGATGATGGGAATTAGAATGGGGGTGGAGGAGAAGGAAGAAGAGAAGGCATTGGGGTGGATGAGAAGTCACCCCATGGCACCATTTCACCCATACAATTTTAGTTCTCTTGGTGTATTTCAAGATTATTTTCTTTAAATCAACACTGCACTGCATTATATATTGTCAATATGTAAAATATATTTCAAAATGACCAATAATTTGCTTGGAAACACAGAAAAAAAGTGTTTAGTTGAAGAGAGTCTCAAGCAGGATGTTACCTCCAGTGAAAATAGAGAGAGACTAACGCCTGTTTGCTGTGTTAAGAGGCTGGATGCCGCGCATTAAACTAGTCACTTTACCTTCAATTATGTTCAATAATTGTTAAAATGACTAAAAAATTTAATATTAAACTGTTAAAATTATTGAATAGTATAAACTTCTTGATATTTACTAAAATAGTTAGGAATTTAAGCCCTAGAACCGATTAATGTATTGGCGGACTAATACTAAAGCTGGTTGACCGGCCAGTGCAAGCGAAAACATGTTGAGGTCTGTCTCGTAAGAAATTCGTTAACCAAATTTAAGAATCTTATGGGAGGCAGTTCGTTAACCGAAATTTCGTTAACCGAGGCGTTCGTTAACCGAGGGACCACTGTACTGGTGTGGCTGGCTGCTGATGGAAGTGGTTGTTGATTATGCAGTGGTAGAAAATTACAGTAGATAAAGGTGTAACATCAATTATATTCTGGTAGAATTGTTTTATTTTTTAAAGGAATAACTCATTAGTACTATACAAGTACAGATGGAAATAAAATATTGTACTGTACATAATTTTCAAGACATCATTATTCACCTGCTTAAACCAAAATTTCAAAGCTATGTAAAATAATTTTTTGGAAATAATATTACAAACATAGCTGTGTTATATATAATTCTGTCTAATACACAGAAGTGTTAATGGTTTTGTTAAATATGGAGATTGTAATACAGATTTTATGAATTAAATTACCTGCACTTTGTTTCAGTAATTTTCCCATTTACCGGAATCTCCGGTCCTCAGAAATCTCCAATAGCTGCAATGAATTTTTTAACCTGGGAAAACTCTCTCCATTCTGGGCATGTGAACGAGTTTCCGAGGATAAAATCATGTGCATTTTTCAGAAAAATATAAAGAAAATCTCTCCATTCTGGGCAAGAGAAAATTTTTTCCAGGAATTCCGAGAGATTGCATCATGCTCCAATGCATCCCCATGTTACCCCATGTGCCGAGCGCATGGTTAGTTTAGTCACTTGGGTAGCTCGGGTTTAGTTCATATTCTGCTGTCATTGTACAGGATTGTTCTCTCATTTGCTGTGGTTTTTGCATACAATTTGTGTTGTGCAGAACCGTACAATATTGTATCAGAACACAAGCAGTGTTAAGACATAAAAAGATATTTCAGGTATGTATACTGTACAAGTATTTCATTAAGTGAAAGTATCATATGTACTGTACAATTCAGTACTGTGCTGTACATAGTAGAGTGGACAGTGTATACCTACTGTAGGCTAGTGTGTAGAGGTATATGTATGGTATACAGTGCATGTATAATCCATCCATGAATGGAGGAGAGGAGAGTGACAAACACCTGCAACAGGATAAAGGCAGGCCATCCTGTATCATATCACCGTTTGGCCTGCCTCCATCACAATCCCAAGATGACAGCATCTGCTGGTGAGTACAGTATAGTGTAGAGTGAGGCAGGGGTTGATCTAGGCCAGTTGTCTGACTCATATATACGTGTGACAAGATAATTGACAAAATGATGAGGTTTTACTAAGTCTTATCACATCTCATGGGACATGCGATGTGGTAATGAAGGGGAGAGAGAGAAGCAAGGGAGTGTTATTAAAGTAGGTGGCTTTGTCAGCGCCACATCCATTCGCACTCGGATAAGAACTAGTGGCCAGTTATGTAGTAAACATACGAGGATCAGTGTGTGTAGTGCAGTGAGCAGACGTGGTTGTTACTTTGACCGGAGACGACTTCTAACTATTATCAAGTAACTGTGCATCGGTGACCTAACTCAATATACTGTGATAGTCTGCCATTGTACTTACGCATGTTATGCCAACAGGCCCGTCACAAGTGAGTGTTGAATTATTGTACGGGCTGTATTCAGAATTAAGCTAATTTGGAAGGTTAATCACATGATTGTTATTGTTGCTGGATGCGAGTTAAATATGAAGGGTACGGTTTGTGTTTGGTACTAGCAACTGAGGGACATGTATTTCCAGGTATGACCGAATAAACATTATCGTGTACTACTGGACGGATCTCATTACCCCACGCTCCCACCCCAGTCTGGCTGTGAGCGGCTACACTAAGTAACTCTGTCCTGCCGACAAAGCAAACCCTCCTAGGTATGTTCAGGTAAAGGAAGCTCCCAGAAAACATAGTCAGAGGTAAATTATGCCAACCTGAGGGAGTGACTAATGAACTTAAGTTGACCTCGCCTATAAGATTACCTGGCTTGACCTGAGTAGTCAAACACCTGCCCTCTCAGGTGCTACATTCACACCAAGTGAAGGTGACAATAAATGAGCTGTTTACACTACCGAGAACATTGCACAAACACATACATTACCTGTGTATACATAAGGAAAAGCTTGCTTAGCCGGGGTACCCTGCCTTCACAAGATGTTATGTAATGTTTATGTTCCACGTGTGGTTTTGAACTATAATTATGACGATTCTGGGTTTCAAAATATCCTTTGACAAAATTATCAAGAACAATGGAGGGAGTCTATACAGGCCACTGGCCTCCTTCCCTCGGCATGGCCACCTCTAGTGGGTGGCCATTAGGTAATTAAGGTAAATACGAGATAAAAATATGGAAATTCACTTTTATTAACCCAACAATATCGCCACAGCAAATAACGCAATTATAATACCCGAGGTCTCTCGAGAAGTATTCACAGTACAGGGGCGAATCCAGGAATGTCAAAAGGTGTGGTCCAAGAAATTTTGGGTGGGGAACATGTAAGCCCCCATTTTCTTTTTTAATCTGACCAATATCATGGCATTTTGAAGCATGTGCACTTGATATAAGGAGATACTCCGAGGCCAATAGTAATTACTTTTTAATATAAAAAAATGCCTAAGTACAATACTGCCTTAAAGAAAAAGTTTTGTTATTTTCTGATGAAAAGGGGGAGTCCAGCCCCCTGGATCCGCCCCTGCAGTAAGCTGGAAAGATCGGCTGTGTGGGCGGGGCGGTATTGTGGGGGAGGGGGAGGAGCTGAACCCGTAGGCAGCAGTTTAGCCTTGACCCACGTGAAGCGAGGAGTCTCGTCTCCCTGGCTGTTGCTCCTGATCCCTCGTCTCTAAGCACATGTAGCCTACTACTGTTCCGTATTCCTTCTATACTGGACGGCTGGACCTGTTGTCTTCGTTATCATTTCTTTCTCTTTAAGTGCTGACTTTTTTTTTATGAGATTTACTTAAGCATTTTGATTCTCGTCATCACCGTTGCGTGGAGACAGCGAATGGCACGGGTCTAGTCAGACAACTTGTTCACGCCAGTATCGTAACATGATGTACAGTGGAGTGGCGACCTTTTGGCTCCTGCTCGGGTGAGGCTACTAGTAGTTTTTTTCAGATGATTTATAACTTATTGATTGATATGCCGTTATCCGGAGAAGCAAACTCCTTTCTCTTCTTTCACTTATGGTTAAAACGTTTTAATAACAACTTTTCGATTCTTGCACGTAAGCTGGTGGCTCAGTGATGGTATGTGAATATAATGTGTTGCCTGTGATGGTTCAATGGTGGCATGTGGTGGTTCAGTGATGGTACACTATGTAGTGTCCCAGTGATATGTGATGTCACGGTGATTGTATGTGGTGTCGTAGTGTTTAATATCTCAGCTTATTGTTTCTTATTTAAACAAAGTTGAACTCAGTGACTGTTGGAGTGAACTTTATTGTCCCATTGATTGCCGGGGAGATTTACAGTAAGTGTGTTTACCAAGTAAAGTACTGGTCTGACTACTATTATGAGGTCACTCCCCGGCACAGTTATGACCTGTTACTTTTGGTCACTATTTCTGGCGTGATCAGTTGAGTCGACGACACGCTGCCTGCAATTCACCCTAGTTCTTTTTGGAGGGGGAAATCTTACTGCCACCCCCTATCGACCTTGGGAGGGGGGTGACAGACAAACAAAATTAGCACCAGAAGGGTGATATTCATACAATATTAGAATGGCCTTGCTCTTCAGATCCTCTTGGAGAACACAAACAAACAAATAGACGGAGGCGATTGCTTTGTTGTTTCTACGAACCGTAATAAACCTGAGGTACAAACATAATACAATATGTCTAACACACAACGACATATAAAGGCTATAAACAAGCCGTTATGTCTTAATAACCTAAAATAATACCGTCAGCTGGCTAGTTTGCTCAGAACGAAGGGTGGGGAGAGCGTGGCTGACAGCCCCTAACATAGTAGTCGGGACGCGGATCTCTGGGCACCGTTATCTCTCAACCTCGTAAACAGAATATAAATATTTCTGATGAATTCAACTAGGAAAAATATCTGAATAACACAAAGGTATTTGATCAATCAGCAGCAAAATCAATTGTAAATATTCAATTCCAATATGAGTTAAATATTCAAGTATTAAAGAACTTGTCTAAAATCGAATAAATGTTTTGTATACCTATTGTATTTTCTCACGTAAATGTGGATGAGTAACTTGCCAAAGAAGTGTTTTTTCTATATATGATCTTTGTCCATTATTTTCTAACATTATAACACCTTTGTGCACAAGACAAACTGGGCTCCTGAACGAACTGCTCGTGACATCGTATATACAAATGTTGTAGTCTCTTAACGGAACACATCAATATATGGACTTACCGTCATTCATTCATGTTAGAGTTTGTGGTTGTTTCGGTAGTCAGTGTATGAAAGTAATCATTTAAATAACAATATTATAGCACTGAAACACTGTAGACAGAGATGGTAGTAAAGTACTGTACTACCGTACTATGATTTACATGAAGCGACGACAGAGTGCTGGTGCAGGGATATGATGCTTCACTATTTGCTGGGCGGCAGTCAACAGGTAAACCCTGGCCAGGTGAACGACCGAACCCAGAATGTAGTGAATGTATAAAAGTACGTATAATAATATCACGGTATGTTTTAGATCTCTTATAAATGAAGGTCACTAATGTGTTTAATAAGTGTCTGTTTTACATAAACATATTACACAGACAGACATACCTATATGGTATGTCTCTGTTTAACACACACATACTTACAGTATGTGTTAAGCACTGATACTAGTGTAAAAGTGAGTACTGTAACGGTCACCAACGATGGTGTATCTCAGTTACAGTCACTTGACTGTATTTCGGGCACACACAGACCACTGCTCGGGCCGCATCGTTGTAACAGTTTAAATATTGTTTTCAGAACACTGGACCATGAGCTAATTTGGTGTCCGACTGGACTGGATTCTAATTTCAGTATTAATCCACTGTACAGTACACGAAGATTTACCGTTTTAATGTGGATACCATTTGATCCCAAAGTTGGCATTCACGGTAACGTCTTTCAAGTGAATGCGTTATAATCCTCTATATTTCGACATCGACATATTTAGTAAAAAAATAATTTTCATTTTTTTTATAGACGTTTATCACTAGTTTCAAGTCATATAAATATAGAAAGTAAATCACAGCTACAGACATGACACATATATAAGGTATGACTAAAATATATTCTTTCAATTAAGATAATTATCTCTCACTAAGGAACATATTAGCAGTCTGGTATAATTATAAGACAATAACTCTGCGCTCTCATTCCGGCATCTGGGGCTCAGGGTTTCATTTTTAATTTGTAAAGACTTCTTACAACGTAGCGAATCTAATAACGCGCCGAGTATTGCCATTAATTTCATGTACTGTGAAGGTCTATAAGTGGTAACACACTCTTGTCAACATTAATAGTTGTTAGTGTTGTGTGAGATATTATATCAAGTTTAGTCACAAATGATGTTCTCTATTAAAGATTTCATTGTGCAAATACAAAGTTGAATAAATATTAACATATATATGAGCTGGATATCGTTTTTATCTTAATATTTCTACATCGAGAAGTTAGAACTTTGATATGAAACTTCTAATTGCCTACACAAGTATTGATATACCTATTCATATTGACAATGAAACAGTTTATTTGGCCAGAATAATACCGCAGAGTCGATAATAATAACAATATTGACATGGCTGATCCAGTTAAGAATCTGAGCTCTCTTGAAGGCACCTGATATATACTGTACCTTTATCTCAAGGAAGTATTATGTAACATTTAGCATCATCTGGAATAGCACACGTAACATGGTGGTAATAAGAACACGGTTATCACCGTTATTTATATATTTTATTTACTTTATATTTTTTTTTACATTTATAAGTTTATACATATTTTACAGTGGGGTTGATATACAATATTATGATAATGGAGGGAAGCAATACAATCTGAGTTGTATTAAGGTGGAACAAGAGGACGAGAGCTGTAAGTCCTGTCGGCAAATATGACAATCATGGTAATTTCTATCTATCTACATGATAATTTCTGGTATAATGGTTTTGGTGGTACAATAAAAGGAATATAAAGTAGACATTACAAAAATATTAATAATTAGACAATAAATATTGTTTTAGAGAGGATTTAAAGGAAGGTAGCGTAGTCTTTGCTCGTATTGGGGGGGGGGGGTAAGTTATTTCACACCTTTACACTATGATATTTTATGGAGGTCTGGGGATGGTCTTTATAGCTCTGGGTGTCTTAAGTTTTATCTCTGATTATTCATGAACTGGAAATAATTATTGTCAATCAAGTGATTGACAGATTTGTAAACAAATCACATCAGTATATGTTAATATCCTCGAATTTTAATATTTCCAATTTAGCAAATTGTTCGTTAGTGTGATAATTTTTTTTTCAAATAGGTCATTGTCCGCACAACTCTCTTCTGTGCAGTGATCAGGGGTTGTGTTTTTGTAGAACCAGCGGCCCCTCATAGTGTGTGACAGTGTATCAAGTGTTGGTAAACAAGATCATAATAGATTTCTTTCATTGCTGCAAGGGTGACTGACTGACGAGTTTGATACAGGATACTGCACTGTTTATTATTGACTTTACTGTGAATGGCATGTATGTGGTTTCTCCAGCTAAGTTTCTCGTCAACAGTAACTCCAAGGAATTTAGTATTTTGTTCACGTTTGAAGACTGTGCTGTATTACCAAGGTACAAGGGGTCCAAATCTGGGTGTAGGGGTTTTCCCTCTGTGGTAAAGATTGTGTAGTGATGTTTTCGAGGTTTAAGGTCGGTTTATTACGTGTCACCCAGGTCCTGACTTTAGTCAACTCAGTGTTCATGGTTCTCATCAAAGAATGCAGATCTGAGTTGCTGGCATAGAGATTACTATCGTCTGCAAATAAGTTGTCTTTGACGAGTGTGCTGGAGTGGACTATATCGTTTATGTACAAGAACACTACAGGACTGAGAATGGATCTTTGAAGGAAACGTATCATGAAAACTTGTATAATAATGTTGATAGATTTTTTTAGCACGTTTTCACAAATTTGCGCTGGTGGTGGTTGAGTAATCATGTTGATTCTAGCAACATAGTTACCCGGAATTAATTCTTCACATACCTCGTCGCCCTTATTTAAAAGACCCACAGCGGAACCTTTTTTCATGTTGCCTCCTTGTTTCCTGTTATCCATCTTTATGTTTTATATTATCTATACTTCTTTATATAATTTATTTTAATGCTAAATTTGAATTTTTTTATAAGTACAATAATTTTAGGTATCACTATATTGCCACAAGCATCTCTACCTTTATCCATGCCCTGCACTGTGACAACATCTCTACTTGTAATGGTAATCTATTCTTAAATTAGCTTTCTGAAAGTTAATTTTCTCAGAGATCATGCACACCAGGCGGGTTCTTGTTCTCTCCGTTCCAGTCATCTCCAGGACGTTGCCTCAGTATTTACTATTGCAGGGTGTTGTCATGGTCGACGTGTGAACCAGTGGGTGCGCCAGGTCACAGGACCCAAACACTCGCCCAGCACTACGCCTCCGTGTAAGTCCTCCAACACTATTCGTCTACAGTTCATGTTCAAATAAAAAAAAAACATTTCCTATAGTAGTGACAATAATAACGATGATGATAATAATAATAGTAAACAATTGTTATTGCAAATACGACAAAAATAAGTGGACTGTATATTACAAGGCGGAAGACACAAGACAATACACAATCACTTAAAATACCAACAAGTGTGGTGAAGACAATGGAGACAATTATTTTCACTATATATTTCTCCGAGTGAAGAGCAACTCGCTTTCTGTCATAAGGATGTTGGTTCACGACCGAAGCACCCCAACTCCTCAGTCGATCTTGCTGTAAATAAATACCAAGTTTTAGTGCAGATGCAGTATGCAGTGCCAACCCTACTGCCTCCTTGTATACCCAAGTATTAGTATTGAAAATGGTTAATCTGCCCTGTCCCTAACTTACCCTTAACTAAACTAACCTAAATCAACGACAACGTTCCAAAATCGTGATGGTAGCAACTTTATTTGATTTTGTCTTTGTCATTCATGTGTGGTTATCATTATGTTCACAACGACACAACCTCAGTATAAATATGTTTCTCATTGCTATCATCATCACTATCACCCTCCTACTCCTCATTATCTTCATTATGATCACTCTGACAGCCATCACCACCACCATCATCACTACTCTACCTAACACCTGATTCCTCCTGCAGCGCCTCCTACCCGTTCTCCAAGATCGTGGGAGTGTTCAGTGTGTTGGATGAAGACTCCTGCGCATGTCTCCTTTTCTACAAGTCTTGTTCTCTCGAGATCTCACTCCAATCCGTCATCAAGGCCAGGGTAAGGAGAGAGAGAGAGATGAATGAGAAGAAAAAATATTTAATAAAGGGATGGGAATAGTGAAATGATTAGTAGATAAAGTAGTGGGTGAGAGGAAGAGGAGGTAGGATGAGAAAGTGAGAGGTGAAGATGTAATTAGGTATATTCAGGTGCTGCGTCATTACTCCTAACAGGGGGCAACACCCGGAGGAGCCCTGTAAGTCACGGAGCTGCTGTAGTGTGTGTGTGTGTGAAAAAATTTTAAGATGAAAACAAGTGGATAGGGAAAATAAATAAGTGTTAACTTGAGTGGAGATACACTAGAGGAAGTGAAGTGTTTCAGGTATGGAAGAGAAGAGCCTTGAGAGTTGAAAATAAGCCAAGAAAAAAAGTTATGGCTACAATATGGCTACTTTGGAGGCTGGAGAGAGAATTAAACCAATAGCTACGGGAGTATAGACAAAGAAAAATGTGGTGGTGTTAGGAATGTCGGGCAGAAGGTTGATGAAGGTCTCTACTTTCATTAACGTACAGTATTAACATATTGTGAGAACTTGAGCTGAGGGAGTACATTTTAAAATAATTATTTTAACAAAGTTATCTTTCTGTATCCTGGCAGGGGTTTCCATGTCCACTGTTGATGCGGTACTGCTGCCGGCGAATGACTCTACTCGACATGTCCAGCACCTTCAGGAATGAGTTTACAAGCCCCCTGGGCGAGCGTCTGGCAGACATCAACAGTGTCAGCCACTATTTGACGAGCGTCTTGGGAGAGCATAAGCCATATGCCAAGAACTCCTCCACTATCCCAACGGCAACAAGTCAGCAAATCCGCAGTGACAAGTCAGGCTTGCGACCGTCTGCTCTAGACACTCCAGTCTTCCAGTTCAGAGCCTCAAGAGCATCTGAAGTACAAAGCAGAGAAAGAATGGCTCCCTTTTTCCCGTCGCGACACTCTCAAGGTACAGATTTAGATGAAGATCCTTCAGAAACGCCAGCAACTGCCTTCCCAGACGTTGGCCAGCAGACGAAAATCTACAACAACAATAATGAGTTTAAGCAACAAACGGAAACTCTGCCAAGCGATGCGTTCAAACGTGAGGCAGACTTTCCAAGAAGGTCCAAGATGATGGCTTGTTCCTGCACGACTCGGGAAGACTGCACCCTCTCCTGGTCCTTCTTCTCTGATCTTCCTCAAGTCAAGATCAGGACCAGTTTAGAGTGTAGGGGACCAGAAGAGGTCACATGTTGTCTTGGTCGAGTCCTGCCTCCACATTCTCATAAGTCTAGGAAGGAGGGTCACCCGAGATCTCCCTCTACATCGTCAGTGTGGCGACCTCTGGAGGAGGCGTGGGATAGTATCATCTCTTGGTTCCAAGGTTAATGTCATGAACTACAAATACATGGAAGTCGATATAAGAAAGACTGATGATAAAATGCTGAATGATTGTATTAACGGAAAAAAATATATTTGTCGCACTCTACAGCTCACTGAGCATGATTACTATGATTAAATAGTTCTCGTGTGTGCGACGGCATACCCATCTGTCTGATATAAATGGATTGAGAAATGGTCCAAGAAGGCCTGTAACTCATTCCTTTGATTATATCGGTCTAATATATTTTCTTTTGGTCTAACACATGCACGGGAAGGAACGACATCGGCATCATTTTCGTCATCATCAACATCGTCGTTATCATTTTTCTTTTTCACACTGAGCATCGTCTCCACCCGCTATGCCTGCCACATTCAATTCATGAGGCAAAGCAGTTAGTCTTGACAAACCTCTCTCTCTCTCTCTCTCTCTCTCTCTCTCTCTCTCTCTCTCTCTCTCTCTCTCTCTCTCTCTCTCTCTCTCAGGGAGGACTGTCTCACCCACCGGCAGATAGATAAATGCACGTCTCCTCAATATATCTTATATCTGTATGAACGCTTTTTAGGAATGTGTAAACGGTAATGTTCTCGAAAGAGGCAGCGGACTGACATAGCATTGGCTTACTGCGCTGCTCAGCTCGGCCACCATCCATCTCACACAAACCTGACAGCCCACAACAAGGGGTCATAAAGGTGTTGTACCTGACTCCGTTGTGGGACAAAACCTCACTTACCCGATCTAGCTTAGCAAGTCAGGATATTTGTGGAATTAAAAGAAACTTAAGCGGCAGAGATGATGTCCACCTAAATATTTTGGTGGTGGGATTTTGTCCACTGAAAAATTTGTCATAAAATTCCTGTCAGGGGAATTTGTGCGTGTAGCACCCGACGCGGCGTCAATCATCCCGTAACTTAGTCTGGGAGTACTGACCGATGCGTGAGGAGTGTCAGAGACGAGTGTTTGTATCGTTCTGTTGCTGGTAAATGTTTCCGCTGTCAGAGAGGAAACTACTCGATGTGATATTTGTGAATGTACATCTGAAATTTTAATTAATCTTTAGTTTTGTTTCACTATTTTAACGTAGGGAAAGTTTTTGTTTTCTATTTTACTCGTAATTTGACAAGTGTGCCATTTTTCCAAGTAGCGTTTCTATTTTAGTCCAATGACCTCGACCTCTTGACCCCGTAAATATATGGCTGTTTAAAAGACCTTACCCGACAGCTTAACACCTGACACTCGCCACGGTCAGCCGCCTGGATACTTGACGCCCTTTTAAAACATCTCTCTTTCTCTCTCTCTTTGTAATTGATTTGGCTCACTGCTGAAGGGGACATAAGTTACCATCGAAATACAGTGTTCATGTTTATGTGTTTCATCTTCCTACTGCAGAATTTCAGTGGTACTTACATACATTTTTTTTTTACGGGCATTAGCCCACTCGGGCTCAGGCCATTATATAATGACCCACATCAAAGCCTTGGGGCGAAAATATAATAATAATAATAGTAATAATATAATTAATAAAAATAAATAAAGTATGTTGTATTGTCAAAATAAGAGAAACAATTGAGACCCTGCAACTGTGTGTAAATGAGGCAGAAAGTCAGATCAGCAACCTGGGACTTGGTCACAATTTTTTTGATGCCATATGGCAGCAGGGTCTACCATTAGACAACACATTATGCTTCCAATATCTTCCCAGGCGGTAGTACCTCCCTGTTTGATAGCTGCTACTACATAGAAACATACATAAGAACAAAAGTATGAAGGAAACTGCAGCGGGCCTATTGGCCCATACTGGGCAGTCCCGTTTACACCCAACCCCTATTGCTCATATATCCATCCAACCTATGTTTGAAGCTATCCAGCGTATTCGAATTAATGATGATATTTGGTAACTTGTTCCGTTCATCCACTACTCTATTTCCAAACCAATGTTTACCGATTTCGCGCTTAAATCTAAATTTGTCTAATTTAAAACCATTTTTACGAGTTCGCTCCTGGTTGGATAGCTTGAGTACCTTTGTAATGTCCCATTTATTTAGCCCTGACTTCCATTTATACACTTCTATCATATCGCCCCTCACTCTGCGTCTCTCGAGGGAGTGCAAATTAAGATGCTTTAACCTGTCTCTGTACTCAAGGTTCCTTATGCCCGGGACTAGTCTTGTCATTCTCCTCTGAATTTTTTCAAGGGATTCTATATCCATTCTATAATACGGTGACCAGAATTGAACTGCGTAATCCAAGTGAGGTCTCACAACGGCAAGATATAGTTTTAGGATGACACCTCTAATCTTGTAACTAACACTCCTTTGCATGAACATATATCCATGTTTAGCTTATACTGTATTTTTACTTATTTTCATGTTATATTTATATTATGTACATTTCGTGTAGTGTATATAAAGACTGTATTGTCATTTATTGCTTGTGTTAATTTTTGTGTGAGATTAATAAGTTACTGTACAGTTTATTATTGGTATCAAAAAGACCCGAGTAGTTTGTTTGACTTCACGTGATTCACACAGTTCAAGTGAATGAGTCGGAACATCTCGTATCCCTCTTGGTAACTTCAGTCGACCAATCACCATCTCCCCTGAGTTTATGGTCCACTTAAAATCCAGGAAGCTTATCGCCAATGAGAATTCTGTTTTTTTATATTTGACCCCGAGGGGGCTAGTTTATTGGGCACCCCCTTGTCATCCTGTGCAAGGTGAAGTGCAGAAGCATTTACAGCGCCGATCTGGGAAGCATGTGTAGTTCATGCTTGCCTTCATAACTCATGTATTAAGGGCATAAAAGCCTGAAGGGTGATGAATTTTGTCAGCAAGTTACATAAAGTGACAGAATGATGAGTGTGTGGGGTCTTCCTCCAGTAGTGTAACGGCTCACGGCCTGACTGGGGTGAGGTTGGGTTTTGAATGAGATTAGTCCAGTATTACACGACAATGTTTATTCGGTCATACCTGGAAAATACATGTCCCACTATCAGTTGTAAATACCAAACACACAAACAGTATCCATCATAATAATAATAGCAATCAAGTGATTAACTTCTCAAGTTGACTGAATGCAATTGCACAAACTCACTTGTGACGGAACTGTTGTTATGACACGCGTAAGAACAGTACCAGACGTACACTAAACTCTGTAGCTGGGTCACTGACACACAGTTGCTTAATATTGGTTAGAAGTCGTCTATGGACACGTAACCAGACCACCTCGTATACTCACTGCACCTCACACACTGCCCTCCTATGCCTCATCTGTTCACTGTCCTCACACACTGTCATCCTATACCTAAAACCCACATCTGGCCACCACATCTCTCTCTCTCTCTCTCTCTCTCTCTCCTGCACATAACTGGAGTAATCACCGACGACCTGAAAGCGAACGGTACACGGATCCTTCACCTCCTGCCGGCGGCGATTGACAGAGGAATTCTGGGCCATTAAAAAAAACTTAGGTGGTGGGAGCAGATACGGTGCTAGCTTTTGCGGTTGACTTGGACAAGGGGTGTGTGGGGGAACCTGTGGTATTAGGGTGTAGCAAGACTGTGGTTAGTAATGTGGTAGTACTATGGTGGTGGTGTGTAATAGTACTGTGGTATGGTTTGTGGTAGTACTGTGGTGATGTGTAGTAGTGGTGGTGATGTGTAGTAGTGGCAGTGATGGTAGTGGTAGGGATGGTGGGGGTGATGTGTAGTAGTGGTAGTGATGGTAGTGGGTTGTGGTAGTGGTAGTGATGGTGAGGGTTGTGGTAGTGGTAGTGATGGTAGTGGGTTGTGGTACTGGTAGTGATGGTAGTGGTAGGGATGGTGGGGGTTATGTGTAGTAGTGGTAGTGTTGGTAGTGGGTTGTGGTAGTGATGGTAGTGGTAGGGATGGTGAGGGTTATGTGTAGTAGTGGTAGTGATGGTAGTGGGTTGTGGTAGTGGTAGTGATGGTAGTGGTAGGGATGGTGGGGTTATGTGTAGTAGTGGTAGTGTTGGTAGTGGTAGGGATGGTGAGGGTTATGTGTAGTAGTGGTAGTGATGGTAGTGGGTTGTGGTAGTGATGGTAGAGGTAGGGATGGTGGGGGTGATGTGTAGTAGTGGTAGTGATGGTAGTGGGTTGTGGTAGTGGTAGTGATGGTGTGGGCTGTGGTAGTGGTAGTGATGGTAGTGTAGTGATGGTAGTGGTAGGGATGGTGGGGGTGATGTGTAGTAGTGGTAGTGATGGTAGTGGTATGTGATGGTGGTAGTGATGGTAGTGGGCTGTGGTAGTGAAGGTAGTGGTAGTGATGGTAGTGGTAGGGATGGTGGGGTGATGTGTAGTGGTAGTGATGGTAGTGGGTTGTGGTAGTGGTAGTGATGGTGAGGGTTATGTGTAGTAGTGGTAGTGATGGTAGTGGTAGGGGGTGATGTGTAGTAGTGGTAGTCGTGTGTGGTAGTGGTAGGGGGTGATGTGTAGTAGTGGTAGTAGTAATGGTAGTCGTGTGTGGTAGTGGTACTAATGGTGGTGGTGGTGGTGGTGTGGTGATGTGCGGTAGTGATGGTGGTGGGGATGTGTAGTAGTGGTAGTAATTGTGGTGGTGGTGTGGTGATGTGTGGTAGTGATGGTGGTGGGGATGTGTAGTAGTGGTTGTGATGGTGGTGGTGGTGGTGATGTGTGGTAGTGGTAGTGATGGTGGTGGGGATGTGTAGTAGTGGTTGTGATGGTGGTGGTGGTGATGTGTGGTAGTGGTAGTGATGGTGGTGATGATGTGTAGTAGTGGTAGTGATGGTGGTGGTGTGTGGTAGTATGCACTGTGGTGGTAGTGGTGGTAGGAGAGTGGCAGCAGGTTTAGATGTGGAGGGAGGGGAGGTTTAGGCTCCACAGAAGGTAACATCAACCTTGTTATAGTTAAGAATTCCCCTACCGTACCTGAATACCTTGGCAACTGTGTTCATATTACTGTCATATCCCTGCAACATGTCTGACCTGCATATATTGACAGCAACATTTACTAAGGGACGTGTTCCTCCTGAGAGAACCTGCTTAACAATATTAACTCGTAATCTGTATTTTTTTAACTAATGGGTATTGATTATCTCTAACGCATAGTATTTACGTCTACATTCTGAACAACTTCTTTAACTATTTTTTATTTTCCACCCATTAATGTTTAGCAGCGGATTTAGCCTACAACTACGAATTAATATTATATTACCGCGCGTTTTGTCGTTTGCATTTCACGGTACTGATACAGGCATTCTGGTCCCTTTACCAGTTTATTGTTTATTGAAACATTCTACTAGACTAGTGTTTTACCCTCTTAGTGAGTGCATTCCTACCTATTCTCTCTCTCTCTCTCTCCATTAGTACAATGAAACGCTGGTCCACGCCTACACACCACAATGCCGCCAGGTCTCACCGGACCGTCATGCCATTACCTTTAGCATTAGCAATCAGCCACAGGACGAGCTTGTAGCCTGATCCTCGGTCGCCCAGCTAACGGGTCTTAGTTGGGTCTCGCTAGCCAATGGCTCCCAGTGGCCCGGGTACGTAAAACCCCGTGATAGGGAGGCCACATCAAGAAGGAAGAGGAGGAAGAAAAAAACTAAGGGGGGGAGGGGATGGGAACAAAGAAAAAAAGGATATGAAAAAGAAGAAGAAAGGAGGAGTAGCAGAAGGGTGAAAATTAGGAGCAACAGAAGAAGGAGGATGAAAAGAAAAGGAGGTCGCGGGCAAGGAAGAACCCTGGGGAGAGAGAGGGAGAGATAAGAGGAATACAAGGCGAATGGGGGAATGGAAAATGATGGGGAGTAGAGGATGGGAGATAAAATCGGGATGATAATGATGAGCTGCATATGGTGGAAGGGGCAGGATGAGAGGGGGAAGGTAGGAGGGAGAAGATGGGGAAGCTGTTGCAAGACTGTGAGAAGAGGAGAGAGGATAGAAGACGAGGAGAAATGTAGGGAAAGGAGGGTGACAGGAGAGGGATGAAATAAAGGGGAAGAAGGGAAGGGATGAAGGAGGAAGATGAGAAAGCAGGATGGGAAGAGATGTAGGGGAGGAGGAGGTTGAGGGGTCATCGACGAGGAGCTGTGGCAAGACAAAGACCATATTAAGAGAGGAACATTGAAAACGGATTTTTATGTGTTTCTGCTCAGACTTTCATAACTTGTTCTGGCCCTGGCATGAGAAGGGTTTTTAATGATTTGCCATTCTTTCTGTCTCTCTGTTCGTCAAATTTTACATTTTTCTGTTTGTATTTCCGCGTGTGTGTGTGTGTGTCTGTCTAATTATTGGCACCAGAACCAGCAATAGATGATGGTATGCAGTCTAGATTTATAATGTGATTCGCCCTTGTATATCGTCCTAGTGTTTTACTTATTAGGTCAATTAGTTAGGGGTCAAGGTCACGTGATCACTCGGTCATTGCCATCTTGGGAAAATACTTGTCAGAGGAATATATTACTGGCCTTTCTTCCCTGCTCGAACCTTCACACCTCCCTGCCTTCCTCCACCCGAGTTCTCCTTCCCTTCCCTTTCCTTTGTCCTTCTCCAGCTGAGTCTCTTTACCCTGGCTTCCTCCCAGGCCAATCTTCCCCGCCCTACTTCAGTAAGAGCCGGTCCCTGGGGTGACAGTGGAAGACCCGCTATCCGAGACCGGTCAAGGTGCCTCCCCGGAGCCGCCAGGGTGACCGCTTACATACACACTTACTTTTCTCAGGTAGGCTCTCACGCCTCGCCTCCTTCACACCATGCACACTAACTTCCAGGTTCTGTAGCGCCAAGGAAGAATTGTACTGAAGATGGAGGTGTTAAAGTCTCCTCTGTGTTGATGTTAAGTTGGTAAACACACGAGAAGTAAAGATCATTGACCCCAGTTAGTCCTTCTCCCTCCCTGCCCTCTTGTTACATAACTGGCCACACACACTTCACTTAGTTGGGTATTTAATTATACTCATTATCTGACTTCTGATTATATAAATCTGTAACTTGATCAATTTTACCCAACGTACAATGCGAGAACATTAAATAGGAGCGATCCACGTCTGGGTGGGAGGGGGTGGGGTAAATTCAGAGGTGAATGTACCTATATTTGCCCTGTGTGGCGTGGGACATCTACACACTACCTACAAACACACGACATGGAAAAACAAACAAATAGTGAGTCAAATTATTCAAATGAATGAAAATACATTTTTTCCTCCCTGTCATTTCTTATTTATAGAACAAAACAGGAATCATACGATAAGCATGGAGCGAGGGAGGGGTTGAGTAACCGTTACCTGGGAGTGAGTGGTGGCGGGTATATAAGGCGGGTCAGCGGGCAGTCGACGTTTCTGTGTTGCTGACTGTCAGACTCACAGGTTCCTCCCAGCTCCTCTTTCCAAGCAATCATATATCTACTGTACACACTTCTTGATGGACATATTAGGAAAATACTAAAAACCATTAGTGAAAGTCTCCACTGAGAATTTTGTGGTTAAGAAATATAGCGAAGATGATTCTCTCCTTAATCTTAGTGATCGTCGCCGTGTTAGTCTCAGGCGACGATGACGTCATGACAATTCAGAAAGAAGTCATGAAATTTATCCTCGGGTGTCAACAACAAGGAGTGGGAAGTGACTACGCGGTGCCCGTCTATGAAACAAAGATCGGGGACACGACGGGGACAACATCACAGCAAATCAGTATTCTCGACCTGGAGGAACTGGGACATTCTCTCAGGAAGACCGTACACAGCGAGGCGGTCTTGGGACATATCCTTGGGCAAGTCAAGGACGCCGTGACTGCCTCCACCAGTGGCCAGGGGCGCTCCGAGTGCAGCATCGAGAATCACATACAGATCGAGATTCCCCCGCAGGAGCTGGACGAGTTCAACGACAGGATACAGCTGATCTCCCAACAGAATGGCCGCATCCTTCTTCAGCAGATCAGCAACATCTTTTCCTACAAGTTGAGGAACCAGCGCGTCGACCTGGAAAAATTGATTAAGCGCAAGACCAATAATCTCAACAGTAAACTGAACCGAATTCTTGTACTTCTTGGAGAGGAAGTTACAGATGAGGACGATGAGGCCGACTTACTTCTGGAAGAATGTGATGCTAACGACAACACAACGGAGTGTCTAGGCGCTGATGGTGAAGCAACCCAGACCGTAACAGAGCCCGAACCTGAACAAGAATCCGAGACTGAACTTACGACTGAGCCTGAGCTAGAACCTGAATCTAAGCCCGAACCTGAACCCACGAGTGAACCTGAATCCACGAGTATGCCCGAACCTGAGCCCACGAGTCAGAACGAGCCTGAGACCGGAACTACACTTGATCCGTACCCTGGGAGTGTTCCAGTGACTGAAGACCCACGTCCCCAGCCTGCGTCCATCACGACCTTCTTCCCCATCTCCGCTGGCAATTCTAGTGCGCCATCCAGTGAGGAGGACGACGACGACAACGATGGCGACGATGACAACAACTCGTCTATCTCCGAGGAACCTAACAACGGAGCGTTTGAAAGGGTAGCCCAAAAACCTACGGAGATACACGAGAGCGTAAGGCTGATGAGGCCAGTGCTGCGACGCAACCCCACCAGGACCCAGGAACCCCAACAAGTGTCTCAAAGGAAGCGTCTCAGGGTCTCACACCCCAGGTGGAGAAGGTCGTAAAGGGGGTGGGGTTAACACACACACACACACACACACACACACACACCAGCGTCAATGCTGTGTTCAAAGATAAATAAGTGAAAGCTTGTGATACACGCATATGGCCTCGTTTTAGGGTCACCGTGATACAGGCTGCCTACAACAGTGTGTTCTGTTTGTAATGTTCTATTTAAATATTGTTTGTTTCTTATATGTCTGTTTTAGATATAAATTAATTACAAGTATTTCCGTTCACAGTGACTGTATTAAAAACTGTGTTATACCTGAAGGGTTTGTTCTTCAAGATAAAGATTGTACAACAGATCAGCTGTTCACGCAGTTATTAGGTCGCCTTTTTGTTTTTACAATACTCTACACCGATTGAAAACAAAACATTATTTTCAGGATACGGTATACAACAAAAGGGATTATTGGTAAATTATTGTATTTACTGAGTCTAGACTTATTGCATTTGTATTCCTGTAATGGATACCAGCACCTCGTAGTAGCTGGAGTGGTGTAGTGTTGGGGTTACCTTGTGGTAGATGGTCTCCTCGTAATGGGGCAGCAGAGGTCGTGTCCGGTACCCGTCCTGTACAGTACATAAGGATGACAAGGTACTTTGTCGAGGCATTATTAGTTTACTTATGTTTGTTCGTTGTTTTCTTTTGAACAAATAATAAATTATTGTTACTGAATGTTTGTGTATTTTATTTATGCTTCATATATTTTAGTACATGATATTTGATATTGTTCAATATTAAACTTATAATTGATTTCAAATTTAATTTCTTGATTATTGAAGTTTTAGAGATGCCTTTAAAAGTTTACAATTTGGAGAACAATGAGCAAAGGATGAGAACCTGTGGTCCTGTAGTCAAGTCATACACACTCCCTCGTCCAAGACGAATGTATAACAGACCTTGATATACAGTGCCAGGTGTGCTGATGTATAAAGTATGTTGTTATAAAGTATTTCTGTTTCAGCGACTATGGTGTTTAAGCATGTAGTCAATACATACAATAAGTCAGGTCATACACTAGACAACAGAGAAAGAGAATTAAGAGAGAGAAGTCTTTCTATCTCACACAAAACATCAGATTCTCATAAAAGTAAGTCAGCTAAAGTGAGCCAGTTGGAGGTTGTCCTGTCAAACCTGACTGTTGTTTGTCCACTGAAGGTCAAGCTGCAGGTAGTTCACAGAGGTTGACAATCCTGCTCCGGGAGTTACAACAGACAAACAGACAAATATCTCATACATTGAAGGGGTTGAGTAAAGACGCTGTGGAGAGTGTTTAGATATACTGTATATATCGTATAATATTTTCGTAATTTCTTATGTCAATTGTATGGCCAGTCCTTCAGTACTCAGCTAAATACTTCACAATGTATGAACTACCTGTGTGGCGCTGCCACAACCTGTGTGGTGCTGCCTCTACCTGCGTGGTGCTGCCACAACCTGGGTGATGGAAAACTCAAGCTGACCCATATATACTTCTGTGTGTGTGTGTGTGTGTGTGTGTGTGTGTGTAACAAAAGCCAAGGAGGCGGGCCACAGGAAGGAGGAAAATTACGAAAGACCAGCGTCCTCCTCCTCCTAGCGGCCTCTCTCACGCTCCCCTCCTGACGGCCTCCCTCACCCTCCCTCTCCTAGCGGTCTCCCTCACCCTCCCCTCCTGACGGCCTCCCTCACCCTCCCTCTCCTAGCGACCTCCCTCACCCTCCCTCTCCTAGCGACCTCCCTCACCCTGGGTAGTTATGTGTGGGCATGAACAGTCATGATGAACACAAGGATATGCCGTGGTGCCATACGTTGTCAGAATCGGTGTCTTGATCAGCGCCGTACGTTGCCATGATCAGTGTTATACGTTGACATAGTGCCATATATAAAGTACACATTGCTGTCGCACCTGAGAACAAGTACTGTATATAAATAACTGGCTGGGGGGAAGACAGGGAATTAACCGTGTAATTGATAAATGATAACAATCATTATTATTGCTATAATTGTAATATAATAATTAAAAATAATAATTAGAGTAACGCAAATCAAGCCACCGGCTTTAAATGTATGTTTTCTACATTATTACCATCAACCAAATAGGTGAAGACAAATTGCCTCGGCTCACACTACACTACATACACTACGCTATACAGTCTTCCGGGAACAGTTGCCGTCAGCGGTGCTGGGCGTTTGGTAGCCACAAATACCAATTTAAGCGAACGTGTAAGGGTATTATCACTTAAATCTCTATAATATTTAATGTTTATCTTGTGTCTTGAATAAGTACGCACGACCGGATACACGCGACACGTTAGATATAATGAAGGTTATGCTGGGCGGTGTCCTGTGTTGACAGCTTTACTCGCTGGGGGGAACACGCATTGGCACTGCAATTTAATTTGCAGGGTGAAGGACACTCTTGGATACCAGGTTCATGTTTGAAAACAAGTTAATGAAAGTAATTTATTTTATTGTTTTGTAGTTGTCTGTTTCGATTTTGTTTTATAGGTGAGAGTGTGGCGGCAGAGGGGTGTGAACATTCCCTTAGGGGACCGACAGCCCCACACTTTCGTATTTTATTCTGGCTAACGCTACACAATTTTATTCCAGAGAGAAACCCCTGCCCTCTAAAGGGTTAAGACTTGTAATACCGATAGGCTAAAAATGGTTAAGGTCAGTGTAGCCTTTTCTCCATAAAACAATTTGACGAAGTATACTGTGTGACTATCTCATTATTTTTCATTATTCCTAGGAAACAAAAGACAGGGAGGCAGGTTGCAGGGCAGTGCGGGAGGGTTGGCAGCCATGGGTACCTGAGGGCGGCGTGTCCGCTGGGATGCTGAGCTGGGTAGCTGACCCCACAGTGTGTTACTGATCCGCCCTTCACACCACACACTGTGGCAAGGCGACCCACACAGGGACATCTCACGCGTCCGTATGTTGCTCATATGTAAGTTGAATAGTGTGAAGTGTTGTTTTTAATAATGAATCGTGCACTGGGATGTTAAGGTGAGGTGTGTAGGTGATGTGGTGGCGGCGAGCGACGCAGTTTGGTGTTGGTAATGGTAGCCTTCACGCTGCCCACTATCATGTGTCCTTAGCTAGTCGGAAAACTCGCCCAGACCATCACAGTGAGAGGACGTTTCTTTGTGTTCGCTCTATCAAGTAACATAATGCAGGCCGTTGTATTAAGAAACATACTTGATATACTTACTGTACAGGACAAGTGGGGAGAAAACAAAACAGTGAACAATGTGGAGACAGTGAAGGGGTATGATGACAAATGTACTCCTCTTCCATATGTTATTGGTGTAGCCAAATTTAGTTATATTTGAAATTAATTTGTAGTTGTTACATCAGGATTTATGTATACATAGATGTATATAACTGAATGATGAGGGAATTTTCCGTTAACAGTTTATATTTATCATTTGTTGTCCCCGTGCCTGTGTCACTTAACGCTGGTGCTGTAAGTGTGAAAAAAATTAAGGAAAAATAATAGTGTATGTGCTGTAGGAGACAGGTATGAACGTCTGTCATAACAGGGTCACAGAGTACACACCCTAGGCTATACAGTACAAGTGCACATAAACACAAACACCCATTCAAATAGCCTTCGTTTGGTGAGTAGTTCATATTGACCAATTCCGCCACTTGTTCTAACAAGACATATTACCGCTTTATTCACTACTGGAAACAAAGAGAACTGTTAAAAATAATGAAAACTTGCTCTGGCCCCGCACACCACCGCACATCCCCGCGTTGCCAACATGTCATGTTTCAACTATCATCAAATCCTACGAGTCTTTTTTACGTATACTTAGCCAACAGCAGCTCAACAAAACAAAAATACGCCACTTCCGCCGGGGCGGACTTCAGACGTTGAATGCAGTACAACAACTGACTTTAGGCGATGATATAAAATTAGGGATGGGAAGCGAATTAAGAGGCAAAGTTTGGTTGTTTCAGTGTAACAATAGAGGAAAAGGGACTCTTTATAGCAGCATCACCCGAGGCAGCGTCAGCACTGCAAGGAGGTGGGTGGGGTCGAGGCAGCCAGGGGTCGCCTGCCCTAATTGGTCTACAGTAGCTAGCCGGTGACAGCATCGCTCTTAGGGATGCATTCCGAATTTCATTAACTCTAGAGAAGACATTTGTCGACTGATTTTTGTGTGTTCACTAGAAGAAGTTATCCGCTTTATAAATGAAGGCCTTGGTCGAGGGTGAGTGAGGAACTGAAGAGAAGGAGAAATAGAGATAAATATAGATAGAAAGATAGAGTTTGACAGGTAGATAGATATAGATTCTCTATTCCAGACTTAACAGTACACACAGGTCAGTATAGTTGAACGAAGAACCGAAAGAAACGATTCTGTGACAGTCGGGTGAGTGAGGATGATGAATAATGAGTATTTTGCGGCCGAGGTGATAAATAAAACATGTTGGTGTAAGTTGTATAAGGAATAAAAGAAGTGGCAGGCAAAGGTTGGCTGTGAGAGGAATAATAAAGCTTAAACTGGAAGATTGTGTGGAAGACGGTTGGTGAGAGAAAAAGAAAAGAATTACGTAAGTTGAGAAAAGAACTAGAAGTAAAAGAATGAGGATGAATGGGGAGACAAAGAAGTTAATAACATGAAGTAAACTGAATGAGGAACACAGAGTAAAATTTAATCGTGATGACACAGCTTGAGGGAGCGTGAGGGAGGAGGCAGGTGATGATGGAGGTGGTGGAGATTCTGGTGGCTGTGGCCATTGGGGTGTTGGCTGCCGTGTTCTTGGGTTCCCTGGCCGCTCTCGCCCTCGTGTGTTACCGTCGGGCACTGCACGCCAAACACCACCTTTTCTACAGCCAGGATATAAGGTAAGAGCCAGTTGGTAATACTTCTGTAATGAATGATTTTCACGAGCCCCATTAACTCCTCTACATCGCTAATGTTTTCCGTCCATACGCCTTTTCAACTATGATTTCAGTTCTTATAACTTCTTCAATCTTGATTTCTCCTTTTAACTTAAATACGTCTTAGTATCGTATATCTCCTCAAATGTTGATATCTACTTCATAATATTCAACTCTGCTGCCATTGTCTTCTGATATCTTTTCTAGTTCTGATACCTCAGTCTTCTTCAACTTTGGTGTCTATTGTTTAATGCCAATAGCTATTCTTCAACAGTCTCTCATCCCAATACCTGTCGTGTTTGTCCCTACAGGCCAGAGGTGCTGATGAACAGTGGCGAATTGTGGAGTGAGTTAGAGCTTGATGATGTTCGCCTCGCACCACAGATAGACAAAATACTTAATGACACACAGTGGGTTGACGATGCTACAGGTGAGAGAGAGAGAAAGAGAGAGATTACAGTAGATGGATATATGGATAATTAGATTAGATCAAATACATGGATAAATATATTAAGGGAATATTATTACTTTGTTAATCCTTTTCTCTCTCTACGTGGCCATGTAAGGTCTGATCCCTCACTGCCTGGCCATCCTCAAGCTTTGCCACCAGATGACTGAGAGACTCGTGGCCACTACTATGACGCCCATACAGAAGGAACGACTCCATGATATTATTGAGGTAACTTACTGTCTATTACCTCCTGTCTACTGTCCTTCACCCTGTCCTCTCAACTGTCCATCACCCTGTCTTCTCAAATGTCTATTGCTTTCTGTCTACTGTCCATCACCGTCTTCTCAACTGTCTATTGCTGTCTGTCTACTGTCAATCACCCTCTGTCTTTTCAACTGTCCATCACCCTGTCTTCTCAATTGTCTATTACATTCTGTCTACCGTCAATCACCCTTTGTCTTTTCAACTGTCTATTACCTTCTGTCTACTGTCCACCCTGTTTTCTCAACTGTCTATTACCTTGTCAACTGTCCTTTCAACTGTTTATTACCTACTGTCTACTGTCAATCACCCTTTCAACTGTCTATTGCCTTCTGTCTACTGTCCATCACCCTGTCTTCTCAACTGTGTAACAAGTCAAAACTAGTATAGAAGATATAGGAAGAATATTTAGTTGTTGGAATGTTAAGTGAGGAAGATTTGGTAGAGTAGCGGATTAGTTAATTAAACTGTTATTATATATTCTTAGAGGGAATTTTCTAAACACCAACTCTAAGTACAGCTATTTATTAGTTAACTCAATGACACAGACACATTAATAGAACATTATATTTACGTTACTAGACATTGACTCTCGGACAACAAACATGAAATGGATACACTTCCCACCGTAAGTAACTCACCCTAGTGGATCGCTCTGACAATGACTCACGTGTGACCTGAGGGAGGCCCAGTGGCTGAGGAAGCTGCAGGTGCTGCTGGACTATGTCTCCTTTGGGAGACTGCTAGCTGGAGACTCGGTGCTGGGGAGGGAAGTCTTACTTACGAGGGTGTTCAAACTTGTGCTTCCGGTCACTGCTATATGTGCTGTTCTTGTCTGGACTGTAAGCTGTGGTCTGATAAAGAATCATTACAACTGTCTATTACCTACTGTCTACTGTCAATCACCCTCTGTCCTTTCATTTGTCCATCAACCTTTAACCACCCTCTGTCGTCTTGTCTACCCATGATCGTTTTGACTTTTATCATCTTTACACCCTCTCATCCATGCTGTACTTCTTCCTCCAGTGCACTACCCACACTCAGTACTCCCACTGGCAGTGCACTACCCACACTCAGTACCCCCTCCCCGGCAGTGCACTACCCACACTCAGTTATCTTCCTCCCGCAGGTAACGAGGCGACTGTCACCAAGGATTGATGACGTGGCACGAGCTATGTATCCTCCCCTGGACCCAAGACTCCTCGAGGCTCGGTGTTCAGCTCTCATACTCACCCTAACACTGCTGGCCTGGCACGCTCGTTACTCCACCTCCAACTCCACTGTGACACTCATCAACGAGGCTCTCAAGGACATGGACCGCCACCTCACTGTAAACATGAACTACATTCAGTTTTATAAGACAATCGACAAATCAAAGTATTTACTAATCAACCTTTTGTACCAGTTAAGAATATGTTATAAAAGTTCATCACCGTTAGAAACACAACAATCACTTTCACTACATCATGAACAACTTGGACTAGTTTTATCACGAATCAAATTTATATTTCACTGGAATAGCTCAGCAGAAGGTTCATCATTGTTAGTCTCACCACACAGACAATTCTCACTACCTAAGACTAATCAGCAAAATCACTGAATTAATAATTTATATCTTATGACATTGTTTACACCAAGTTGTGTTAACAGGTGTTGCTTGCATCAAGTTGTGTTTACAGGTGTTGTTTACATCAAGTTATGTTTACAGGTGTTGCGTGAGGCAGCCATGGCTCACGAGACCTTCCGAGGCATCTTCGCAGAGGACGTGTCTTGTGACGCTGCTGAGTGATGAAGTCATCTTCTCTACCACCTGGCCAGCCTCGCCTACTGCTGTTGAGGTTCACTTGGCAGTTACAATGTGAACTAGACTCTGGCAGATACAGTGTAGACTAGACTGGCAGACACAGTGTGGACTAGACTCTGGCAGACATATTGTGGGCGAGACCTTGACAGACAATGTGGACTAGACTGGCATATACAGTGTGGACCAGACTCTGGCATTCATAGTGTGGACTAGACTCTGGCAGACATAATATTGACGAAACTCTGGCAGACATAATGTAGACTAGACTCTGGCAGACGCAATAAGGATTAGAATGGCAGATATAATGTGGACTAGACCTTTGTAGACACATAATGGAGCACAGAAGCCACCCTTACCTGGATAGTTACTCAAAGGTGTTACCTGAACGCAGTAACAACCAGGAATCACCCATATCTCAGACGGCACCTGATTGCATACAGGAACTACTGGCTACTAAACATTCCTTTACTATGGTTGTCTTTAAATATTGACCAGTCATATATCATGCCTAGTTGGTCACATGAGGTAGGGTAGGAGACAACCTCCCTTAATAATGTAGATATTAGTCTCTCCACATTCCCGGAAGGACATGAACATACTGTATTCATAATTGAAATTCTCGTCTCAGAGTAATTTTCACATATTAATCCACCATAGAACGTGATAGTGTACTGTATATGACTGTTAACATTATAAAAAAAGGAAAATCATTTATTCATTTCTATATTTTACAGTTTAATATTAAACTTTTGTGTGTTGGGTGTTGTGTTCATTAAGAATTATAACGAGAACATTAAGTCTGTGATCTATGCATAAATTTTAGGTTATATATTATGACATAATATTGTATTATAGGAAGGGCAGCAAGTGATGGTTGATCTTCCCTGGCTGCCTGCCCACAATCTCTTCTTCACTTATGAGAGCAATCGTGTATTTCTAAATTCCATAAAATCTTACAGAATCTTTTCTTACTTTGTGAGTACAGTACTGTACTTTGATCCACCATATTGAGGCACCTCATAGTGTACAGTACAGTAGGTGGTGGTCCTCACATCACACTGTGTTCACCTCACCACCCAATGTTTTAAATATTGATCTTCAACGTGGAAGATGTAGTAAAACTTATTAAATAAATTGTTTCATTTTC